CTGACGAGTCCTAGAAGGACGAAACAGCTGTATTATGTAGCATCACTGACGAGTCCTAGAAGGACGAAACAGCTGTATTATGTAGCATTACTGACGAGTCCTAGAAGGACGAAACAGCTGTATTATGTAGCATCACTGACGAGTCCTAGAAGGACGAAACAGCTGTAATTTGCAGTTTAATTCGTTGATTGGCTCTACTGAATCTTATTTAAATTCCACTTTTGTGTCTATTGTGCGATCATTTAGGCTGTTTCTGCATCAAAGAGATTCCTTAAAATCCTCACTTACAGAGGACATACTATCAAACTACTGAAGCCTAGATATAGGTTAATGTAGTCACCGGATATGCGGACCTGTAACCGGTAAAAAATACATGGAGTTAGTATTACCTTCTTTTTCCCCTGAACTTACACGTAATCAAACATACACGTATATATAGTAAGTATATATCAGTCTATAGAGCGCGTAGTCGTAATAATAAAAAAAATTAAGTCCATGCTCAGGTTATTTTCTTCCAATTCGGTTTTTAATGATAATTGTCTGATACAATGCAATAGTTATGACATTTATTAGCCTACCATTATCAGATGTCGGGCTATCCAATAACCCTGCGTCCGTATTCTGTCCTTTTGTCTGTATGTCCCTAAACAATTCTTAGTATTGCTATTTTTAGAGAAATACTGGATGGGTCTTCTTTCCAGATCTCGTATGTAGGGACCAGATGATAAAAAACCTTGGCCAAAAGGATGTAATCTTGGATTTTTAAAATTAATAGTTTGTTAGCTCCTTTTCTTAAAAAATACTCGATGGATCTATTTCAGAGTTTTATATATAGGTTTCTCTTGGCCCCGAGGTGTGCCCTTCGTGCCGGAAAAGGCTGACAGATGGCCATCTTTGACTTTGAAAATGAAAAATTCTTATAGTGATTTCTTTGGAAGTGGTGGATGGGTCTGTCACAAATTCCATATGTAGGTTTTTCTCTGTTGTGTCCATTTAATTTTCAGTCTGGTCGGAGAAACAAAATGGTTAGTAAGCGTATATTCCGGATATTGACGTTTTTTAGGACTGTCAGAAAACCAAATACAAATAGACTTAGGCCCTTGGCACCACTAACATAGCGACATAGACTTAGGCCCTCGGCACCACTAACATAGCGACATAGACTTAGGCCCTCGGCACCACTAACATAGCGACATAGACTTAGGCCCTCGGCACCACTAACATAGCGACATAGACTTAGGCCCTCGGCACCACTAACATAGCGACATAGACTTAGGCCCTCGGCACCACTAACATAGCGACATAGACTTAGGCCCTCGGCACCACTAACATAGCGACATAGACTTAGGCCCTCGGCACCACTAACATAGCGACATAGACCTAGGCCCTCGGCACCACTAACATAGCGACATAGACTTAGGCCCTCGGCACCACTAACATAGCGACATAGACTTAGGCCCAGGGCACCACTAACATAGCGACATAGACTTAGGCCCTCGGCACCACTAACATAGCGACATAGACTTAGGCCCTCGGCACCACTAACATAGCGACATAGACTTAGGCCCTCGGCACCACTAACATAGCGACATAGACTTAGGCCCTCGGCACCACTAACATAGCGACATAGACTTAGGCCCTCGGCACCACTAACATAGCGACATAGACTTAGGCCCTCGGCACCACTAACATAGCGACATAGACTTAGGCCCTCGGCACCACTAACATAGCGACATAGACTTAGGCCCTCGGCACCACTAACATAGCGACATAGACTTAGGCCCTCGGCACCACTAACATAGCGACATAGACTTAGGCCCTCGGCACCACTAACATAGCGACATAGACTTAGGCCCTCGGCACCACTAACATAGCGACATAGACTTAGGCCCTCGGCACCACTAACATAGCGACATAGACTTAGGCCCTCGGCACCACTAACATAGCGACATAGACTTAGGCCCTCGGCACCACTAACATAGCGACATAGACTTAGGCCCAGGGCACCACTAACATAGCGACATAGACTTAGGCCCAGGGCACCACTAACATAGCGACATAGACTTAGGCCCTCGGCACCACTAACATAGCGACATAGACTTAGGCCCTCGGCACCACTAACATAGCGACATAGACTTAGGCCCTCGGCACCACTAACATAGCGACATAGACTTAGGCCCTCGGCACCACTAACATAGCGACATAGACTTAGGCCCTCGGCACCACTAACATAGCGACATAGACTTAGGCCCTCGGCACCACTAACATAGCGACATAGACTTAGGCCCTCGGCACCACTAACATACATAGACTTAGGCCCTCGGCACCACTAACATAGCGACATAGACTTAGGCCCTCGGCACCACTAACATAGCGACATAGACTTAGGCCCTCGGCACCACTAACATAGCGACATAGACTTAGGCCCTCGGCACCACTAACATAGCGACATAGACTTAGGCCCTCGGCACCACTAACATAGCGACATAGACTTAGGCCCTCGGCACCACTAACATAGCGACATAGACTTAGGCCCTCGGCACCACTAACATAGCGACATAGACTTAGGCCCTCGGCACCACTAACATAGCGACATAGACTTAGGCCCTCGGCACCACTAACATAGCGACATAGACTTAGGCCCTCGGCACCACTAACATAGCGACATAGACTTAGGCCCTCGGCACCACTAACATAGCGACATAGACTTAGGCCCTCGGCACCACTAACATAGCGACATAGGGCCCTCGGCACCACTAACATAGCGACATAGACTTAGGCCCTCGGCACCACTAACATAGCGACATAGACTTAGGCCCTCGGCACCACTAACATAGCGACATAGACTTAGGCCCTCGGCACCACTAACATAGCGACATAGACTTAGGCCCTCGGCACCACTAACATAGCGACATAGACTTAGGCCCTCGGCACCACTAACATAGCGACATAGACTTAGGCCCTCGGCACCACTAACATAGCGACATAGACTTAGGCCCTCGGCACCACTAACATAGCGACATAGACTTAGGCCCTCGGCACCACTAACATAGCGACATAGACTTAGGCCCTCGGCACCACTAACATAGCGACATAGACTTAGGCCCTCGGCACCACTAACATAGCGACATAGACTTAGGCCCTCGGCACCACTAACATAGCGACATAGACTTAGGCCCTCGGCACCACTAACATAGCGACATAGACTTAGGCCCTCGGCACCACTAACATAGCGACATAGACTTAGGCCCTCGGCACCACTAACATAGCGACATAGACTTAGGCCCTCGGCACCACTAACATAGCGACATAGACTTAGGCCCTCGGCACCACTAACATAGCGACATAGACTTAGGCCCTCGGCACCACTAACATAGCGACATAGACTTAGGCCCTCGGCACCACTAACATAGCGACATAGACTTAGGCCCTCGGCACCACTAACATAGCGACATAGACTTAGGCCCTCGGCACCACTAACATAGCGACATAGACTTAGGCCCTCGGCACCACTAACATAGCGACATAGACTTAGGCCCTCGGCACCACTAACATAGCGACATAGACTTAGGCCCTCGGCACCACTAACATAGCGACATAGACTTAGGCCCTCGGCACCACTAACATAGCGACATAGACTTAGGCCCTCGGCACCACTAACATAGCGACATAGACTTAGGCCCTCGGCACCACTAACATAGCGACATAGACTTAGGCCCTCGGCACCACTAACATAGCGACATAGACTTAGGCCCTCGGCACCACTAACATAGCGACAAAGCTCTGTGATTCAAGTTGTTTCATTATTCGGTTATGTATCTAAACATTGTATTACAATGTGTCATTCAATTTTATACAATACTCTATAGAACAAGAAATCAGATTCCAAAACAATATCGAATTTTGAATCTGTAGTGATGTTTATCATGTCGGTATCAAGTTGTTCAATGTCCAGTCTAATTATAATACAGCGAACCCGTGAGCGTCAAAACCGTCTTTATTACAGGGGAAAGAACGAGTATTAAACAACAGACTCTGACGAGGAAATCGGATTGTTGTCGAGATGTAGATAAGTGATTCATTTATTAAAACCGGACACCCGAACTATTTATATTAGCAAAGAAGAGTGTGAACCTTGGGAGTTGACATGCATACAAAGCCGTTGATAAGGTGCATAATGAATTATTGTAACGATACGTTTTTTCGCAGGAATAATGTTACCTACCGATCTTCACGAGGTACACTGTAACTATTTGTGCACATGTTGTTGTTTTGTATTTAAGTAGTATGATAAACAGTGTATATATACTTGGTTACATGGCTAAATGTAATGTCACACAATTTCTGCATAAGTATTTAACTAGGTAAATTTATCACCTTAAACTTACTTGAAATTATTCAGTATGAAACCACACACTCAAAAATGTTTAAAATGAACAGAACGTGTATATATACCTTCCGAATATAAAGTTAAATACGACATATTGTGATTTTAAAATTCGATATTTTAATGAACGGAGACAGAAACGTGATCTATAACTTGTTATTTGCACTGTCACGCTCCGTGTCTCAGCTTTTTATCTGTGGGCACGAGGAACACAATGGAAATCTTGCCATAGTCCTAGTTCAAAAGGCTATCTACTCAAAACGATTATATAAGAACCATTAACTTAAATCTCTAACTTCATTTCACATCCAATCATTTCATCATCTGAATGCATGATTGTGTTAATGTCTGATTTTAAAACTCATTGAAACGTTTGGGATGTAGGAAGTCACAAGTTTTCCTGGTGTATAATGTAGGTCATGTTTTTTTTATCTAGAAAACACGAGGAAAATGAGACCAGCCAATAGATAAACTAGCAATGCTTGACAAAAAAGGCTGTTCTTGTAATTAGAACCGAGGAGATATGTGAAACCACTTCTGACATCATATTTCTTTATCTTTCTGTTTAATCTATACCCTTATCATCACTGATGAGTCCCAGTACAGGTATTATATACCAGGAGATCAGGGATCACACCTGCCAGTGAGGAGACCTGCTGGATACAGGTAAATTTACCTGTGTTTCAGTCTATCACACTGTACATAAAGATATTGATGAACCAAACTTCTCTATAAAGATTTTTTTATCTTCCCATTTTGTAATTCTGTCAGCTTCATTATCTAAAATTGTATGATGTATGGATGTGTACAAAATTTGTATATCAAATATATGAGACATATTACTGATGACTGGCAGTTCTGAAATTGATGACACACAGATATTTAAAATCAAATCTTACTTTTTTATTAAGGCACGTAACATATTTATATGGCATTTGATGGCCATCAGAAAAGTATCAGGGGGAGATTTATCATAAATATAGGGGGTACATATATGATCATTGCAACATTTGAAATCCCCACCCCATAAACCATCTATATATAGAACTGCTTGGCATCGTGAGATAAACACAATTTTTTGTTATGTTAGAATTGACCCTTGGGTGTGGCACACTTCAAGGCACATTATTTCTAGGTCATATTTTTTATATAGTTGAGACCAATCTGATTATATAATCTCTTTCTGGGAATCAAAAGAGAAAGACAGTGATGAATTAATGTTAAGCCAAGTCTTTTGTAATTGTTATCAGTACACTGTCTGTAGTTACACTTTATAAGACTGAAAGGATTCAAGGCTTCCATAAGGATGATGGATCCTGACCAGTTTCATTTCTGAGTAGTTGTCTATCAGAGGGGAACTATCTGGTCTTTGGCCTTATACATTAAGTGTTAAGGGAGGTAAATGTGTGGTACTAAGTATATGTATTAGTGAGTTTGACTTCAATAAAGGTGCAGGACATTTTAAAGTAAAAACACACACTGTAAAGGATTATCAAATACCCCCCCACCCACCCACAGCCCCCACCCTACCCTGTAATTCTAGAGCATTACACCCTAGATACTATTCTGATGACAATCATAAATGTATCTCCTCCCCCCCCCCCCACCCCCACCCCCTTCTGATAATTACTATTATCCTTATTTACTATTTTACTATACTATATTTTATGCCTTCTTTCGTCATTGCTAGCATGTAATATATGTATAATTCTATATGAATAAACTTTCTCCTAGAATCACAGTATAATAGTTTTCTGGTTGTTCTATATATTAATATTCTGAAAAACCGCCAAACAGCAAGATTTATTGATATTCAAGGTCAGTCTTCTAACATTCCCAATTCCCATCCCTTGCACCTGCAAACATATCTAGTAAGGGTTGGGATGTTGGCCCATTCTTCCAAGAGGGCTGCTCTCAGTTGGGCCAGAGTAACAGGGGGAGGCTGGCGTTGTCGAACCTATCTATCCAGCTGGCCCCACAAGTGCTCTATAGGGGATAGGTCGGGGTTGTATGGAGGTCAGTCCAGTGGGTGGATATTGTTATTAGTGAGAAAGTCCTCGCTACATGGGGCCGAGCATTATCCTTTTGGAATGTGAGGTTGTTTTGTTGTAATAATGAGACAACATTGGGTCGGAGGATTTCATCTCAATATCTAGCGGAAGTTTAATTACTAATAATAACTACAACAACCAGTGGTGATTTAAACCCATGTGAGATTCCTGCCCACATCATAACCGATCCACCCTCAAACCTATCCATCTCTACTACGCAACAGTCGGCAAAACGTTCTCCACGAAAACTGCTCGGTCAGTGGGGAGGGGGGAGGGGTATGTGGCGCCACCCAAGTCATACGATGCTGACGTCGAGGAGCAGTAAGGGGTAGATCTACAAACGGGTGGCGTATCTGCCGATCAATCAAAATCCCCAAATCATTTTCAAACATTTTTCCTTGAATAGGCGATTATAAGTACATATGGTATGAAAGGCATATTCAGTGGCAGTATGGTGCCGATTGCACAAAAGCGACAGACGAATAAACCTGTACTGACGTTGTGACATCATGCGCGGACGCCCTGACCTAGGTCTGTCAGCTACCCGCTCAGTTTCCTTTAGGCGTTCATTAGTGCAGATGTGAACACCGAAATGTCTGGCAACCTGTATTTGCATTTGGCCTTGCATAATCATCGAAATGGCCTGACGCCTCTGAACTTCCGTCAGCCATGCCATTGTTTAATGCTATCAGAAATTAATCAAAAATTTACAGGATCACGCTCACTGTAACCTAGATAGTCACTTGGCCGATTTTCATCGTTTTCAAAGGCAGTGTTTTCAATAATGAACTGTGGTAATTCAAGCATAATATTTACTGCACTTGAATAAATACAAAATCGAATGGGTTAGTGACAACTGGGTAAGATTTTTAACAGTCGGTCTGCTGTGTTTTCAAAAAGTTTTCAGTTTTTATACCAAATGCAGACAGTTTCTGATAAAGCATTTCCTTGGTTTGTGCTGCCAGAGTTCGCTCCCTTGACAGGATCCAGCAAAATTCGACGTGGGTAAGGTCAAGGACATCCTTACAGGAGTAGATGAGTGTGTAGTTTTTGTAGTCTGTATCCAATATCCAGTAATTACCATACGGAATATCTGTAATACAGATGAAATAATGCAGATACGTCATTTCAGTATTCGAGGTTCGGTAAAATGGCAAATTAGACCTCATTTCAAAAAATCTCAAAGGAGACGAAAACAAATAAAAGATTATGTTTGTAAACTAAAGTACCTTTTATACAGAGAAGTATACGTTAAAATGTATAACTGGTCTTCTATAAAACAATAAGAAGCATTTTCAAATTTACTATTGTTGTTTTATAAGATTTTAGTAATTTAACATACCTTTTCCAAATTTTACTTGAAGTTTTGCTGGTTCTGTCTTGTCCGGAACGTAACCGTCACCAATCGCTTCGATAAGCTTGCCATCACCATCTAACCTACGGTCAAAATAAAGTGTCTATTGTCATGGCCAGCTCACTAATCCAACGAAATCAGATATACCTCACACAGAAAATCTAGTCATGGCCAGCTCACTAAACCAACGAAATCAGATATACTTCACACAGAAAATCTATTGTCATGGCCAGCTCACTAAACCAACGAAATCAGATATACTTCACACAGAAAATCTATTGTCATGGCCAGCTCACTAAACCAACGAAATCATATATACTTCACACAGAAAATCTAGTCATGGCCAGCTCACTAAACCAACGAAATCAGATATACTTCACACAGAAAATCTATTGTCATTGCCAACTCACTAATCCAACGAAATCAAATATACCTCACACAGAAAATCTATTGTCATGGCCAGCTCACTAAACCAACGAAATCATATATACTTCACACAGAAAATCTATTGTCATGGCCAGCTCACTAAACCAACGAAATCATATATACCTCACACAGAAAATCTATTGTCATGGCCAGCTCACTAAACCAACGAAATCATATATACTTCACACAGAAAATCTATTGTCATGGCCAGCTCACTAAACCAACGAAATCAGATATACTTCACACAGAAAATCTAGTCATGGCCAGCTCACTAAACCAACGAAATCATATATACCTCACACAGAAAATCTATTGTCATGGCCAGCTCACTAAACCAACGAAATCATATATACCTCACACAGAAAATATATTGTCATGGCCAGCTCACTAAACCAACGAAATCATATATACCTCACACAGAAAATCTATTGTCATGGCCAGCTCACTAATCCAACGAAATCAAATATACCTCACACAGAAAATCTATTGTCATGGCCAGCTCACTAAACCAACGAAATCATATATACCTCACACAGAAAATCTATTGTCATGGCCAGCTCACTAAACCAACGAAATCATATATACCTCACACAGAAAATCTATTGTCATGGCCAGCTCACTAATCCAACGAAATCAAATATACCTCACACAGAAAATCTATTGTCATGGCCAGCTCACTAAACCAACGAAATCATATATACCTCACACAGAAAATCTATTGTCATGGCCAGCTCACTAAACCAACGAAATCATATATACTTCACACAGAAAATCTGTTGTCATGGCCAGCTCACTAAACCAAAAATATCATGTATTCCTCACACAGTAAATCATTTCAGCTTCGAGCTACTTCAGTCAGCATCTACAAAAGGTATGAGTGCCAACTGGGTGAGGACAAATTCAAAACACCTATATATACAGGAGGTGTTTATTTTCCCTGTAAAAGCAAACTAGTAGCATTTAAATGCTTAAATATTTACTGTCCAATTTCGTCTTGTCACACGGTATTATATGTAAAGTTTGTTATTATTACTTGCAATACCCCCATGCCGTTGGTCGTAAGCTGGTAATACAAAAATTCGCTCTCGCCACCAACATGGTCCCGTTCTGCTATGCCGCAATCTCCATGGTGCAGTCAAAATCGGGACAGATCTGAAAACAAAGCATTGTTCCATTGTCGAAGGGCCCAGTGACGGTGACCACTGTTCAGTTATAGCGATTACCACATTGACGTCGCAACAAAATGTGTTCAGTGAATGGAAGCCGCCCTTTCAACCTGTTGCGGACTGATTGGACAGACACATGCCGTCCAAACCATGCACTGGTCTCTATTGTGGTACGAATCGATTGCGTAAGTGTATTTATCGTATACGAAGGTGAGCTGAAATGTCACGTATATTTTAGAAAATACCAAATACAAAAGTATTTGTAGAATAAGTAGGTATAAAAATGATTCGCTTGCTGTAGATAACTTACGATATACATTTGTTGTCCACTCGGATATGTCCGTCATCCTTCAGCTGGTAGTTCGCCACTGTACACTTGGAATTGTCCTCAAAACCAACATAAAACCTTAGTATTTCATACCAGTCACCGAGGTACTGTAAATAGATGGTAAACCCCTGAATTAGGATTTTATATATCTGCAGATTTTTAAGTACATGCGATAACTCGGTTAAACAATGTCCATATTCGAAATGTACTCTTTACACTGGTAACAGGTGAATGCAGATGAAATGGGGAAAAACGATGATTTCCCGCAATACATATTGTGCCCATTCAGGCACACTTTGTCACCACTTGCGGTTCCCGACATATTCTCATCACCATATGTGGCACACACAATGGTGTCCCCGTCACGACATGAGAATAGAAAGTATTTCAGTATCAAAGTTACTATGTCGTGTGCATTATGTACATTAGCTGCTTTAAAGAATTTGTTAAAAACAATTTTATTTCTCTTTCTAACCCTACCTTTTTAAATCAACCCTACCTTTTGTGTTCTTCAGGACACAGGAAAGTATTTCAGCATCAAAGTTACTGTGTTCACTTTGTGCACTTAATACTTTTAAGCATTTGTTAAAATAATTTCGTTCTTCTTTCCATCCTTACCTTTTGTAAATCAAAGTTATCTTGGACTGTCACTGTGGGACATTTGCCTTTTCCGAACACTTGGCCATGTGATAGATCGACAACTAACACTAATACTACGGCGTAGCAGAGAAATGGTCTGATCATTGTAACAGGGAAAGTCTGTAGTGCTGATAATCCGTCATATCGTTGTTATATATATTCCTGTATTCGAGGCTCTTGACCATCATTCTAGATAAGGTGAGACTTCCAATTATATAGGGCAAATATTGCAAAAACAATCGGTTTTTAGTTGAAATTTTGTATTTTAAAGCCAACAAAAATATATTCTATATATAAATATAACGAGGAGTATCAAGTTTTTGTTAATTGGTTGGATTTAGTCATAAACGAAATTAGTTTATATATTCAAATATGTATTGCCGTGTAGAGGCTCATTGCTATCTGTCCGTCATCGTGATGTCCTTGTGTGGAGCAGTATTATCAGTGGTCAGTAGAGAGTTTTGTTATACAAGGTTTCGGACAGGTCGTTTGTATAGCTAATCTTACGATGTGCTGTTGAGACGTCTATATCAGAGAAGTAGTTATATAAAGGACACATCTTGAGAACGTTGGACTAGTTTGCTCAGTTCTTGTTAAACATTGGTGAAACGTATACCAGAGTTATAGTTTTCTTCTGAAAGTACAGAATTTCTAAAATATTCAGATTCAATTAAAAACACGAGAAAAGTATCTTATTACGATAGAAGATATATAACTAAACAACGCTGTCCTTTGTGGAGATATGTAAAACGATTTCAATCATTCACAGTATAAGAGTAATACAGTATGCGTAAAATGAAATATAGTCATTTGGAGAAATACACCACAAATGCTTGAGAGCAAATGATTTCATCTTTCTGATGCTATATTGATGAATCTTGTTGTCTGATGACGTCACCAAGGAGTTACTTGGGAGCTTTCAATCCTGATGATGAACTCCAAGGCATTAGTTCATCTTTCACATCCTTCTTCTTGAATATAAGAATTTTTGTATTGTTTGTATGTTCTTAAAGAAGAAAGTAAAGCATGGTATTCTAGTGACGAGAAAAGAATGACATTGTGATAAATAAACGAAAGACTGGAGGCTGTGAGTTCTTTCGTTTAATTGGTTATATATATATATATACATAGAAGGATTGCTTATAGAAGTTCCTTAAGGTCTTGTGTGTCTGAATGCTTATGGACCGTGATGGCTTACATGAATGGGCAGATCGACAAGCAGGAGATTTTCTGGATCTCGACAAGGCCATATAGTATTTTGTAGAACATTACTGGTCTGGTTTGCAGGCAAAGGATTCAGTCATGTAACAGAGTTTGTATAGTGGTGCCTAGTTACTAAACACTATCTTTCAGCTCAGCGTTGCACTTTTTCAGACTGATTTTTTAAGGTTGTATGAGTCTGTCCCAGAGAGTGTTGCACTAAACTCTAGTCTACGACGAACTAGTGTTTTCTGTTCATGATCTTTGATATGTGAAGAATTTTCTCTTCAATTTCGTCGTAGGAAACCAAGTGATTGATTGACTTTGGAAGTAATGGGAGTCCCATTTCAGGTAAGAATGTTAAGTGACACCGAGATATTTTACAGGTTTTGTTATCTCTGGAACATGGCCATGCAAAGTGTTGTTTGGAGATGTAGATGATGACTTATGGAATGAAGCGATCGTCGGGAGGAAAAGCCAATTCCTTATGCAGCTGCAGCATCATTGCAGTTTTGTGTGTGTGTTTTTCCCCTTTATTAATTTATTTTGTATTTTTTATTTCGATTTGTTTTTTCTGTATTTTGGAATAGCAATTCTCCCTGCTGTGTTCACTTGTCAGTCGTAAGAGAGGACTAATTGTGGGACGCCTTCCGTATGTTTGTCGTGGTTCTCTAATGCGTTCTCTTCAAGATACACGGGACAGCCCAAGAATACGGTCTGCTGAATTCCAAAGCATGATTGTTGGAAGCGTATGATCGTGGGCCGTTGCAGAGTTGAGTTTTCTTTCATTTTTTTCTGCATGGGGACATCGACGTAACAAAAAAAATCTGATGCCCCATTTCAATACTGGATTTGATATTTCGCTTTCCTTCCTGTCTGCCATTTCTTTCTGTTTTGTTTCCCACTATTGGTATCCCCCCTGACATCCGTTGCGAGGATGTTAAAACCCCCCAAATGCAAAATTCATATCCCCTTCTATTTCATCTATGTCTACCTCTACATTCCCTTTTCACTATAACGATATAAAATGACAAGTGTAGATACACTAAGAATAAACAAGAGTGCCTTGGACACAATATACACCACCACATAATATAAAGATCAAAATAAAATGGCATAAATCTTACAAAAATCAATGAACCGTAAAATCGCCCCTTCATGCACATCAAACCATTGTAGTAGTGACATTGAGCAAGTTTTATGAAAATCTAATCATCAGTTTAGGAGGAATTGTATTCACAAGAAATGGACGTACGGACAGACAGACGGAGAAGATGACGCCAATATACGACCGCCTCCGGCAGCGTATAAACAACGATTGTCAGATTACATGAATGTGAAAATTGGAAATTATTTAGAAAATTTATTCCCTTTTTATTTTTTTCATGTAAATCTTTAGGTTGTTCATATTTGCCTTAGTTTTGTCTAATTTAGGTTTATGGTATGATTCAGCAAACAGGTAGATATATTTTCTTCATTTTCAAACAAACAAAACATCCAGATAAATGATAAACAATATGTATTCTTTATTACTTTACATATCAATTAGAAATAAGTTAAAAACTTTAATGCAGGAGAGAAGTAATATGAATACAGCATTACATGTGATATAAAAATATTGCAGGAATATGCATAAGTGCAATGGAAGACCACAGGGGCAAACACGTTATGTATAGGCTAGTGTTTGAAAGAAGTTTGGTACTCATGTTCCACCATACACATTTAGTAATACATAGGGAACACTATGGGCATTCCTTGCCTAAGTACCCTCAACACTATACAAGTCCATACCTCACGTGCCCTGCCCCGGTGTGAAAGACATATATGACATGTAGAGTTGCTGAACATCAACCATTAGTAAATATATTATTTAACAGTTTATATAATTTTACTATTATATACTTCAGAATGAAAGGTAATATTTTGAAAATTAGAATAACATAACATTTAATAGATTTTTGATAGGTTCATAGGCTATTCATCAAGTTAGCATATTTAATAACAATCTACAGTAAGTAAAAATTACAAGTGTGTTTGATAACAATTTATATTAAGCACAAATCACAAGTTATTAACAATTTATCTTAAGTACAAATTACAAGTTATTTAGAATTGATATTAAGTACAACATACAGTGTAGAAGTTACCATAGTAACAAAATACAAGTAAACAATACAATCTTTGAGTTACCATGGTAACAATTTTTCAGACATTAGCACACAATGCACTTTCAGGTTATTATAGTAGCAATTCACAAGTATACAATACAGTATTCAAATGACCAAAGTAACAACTGATAAGTACATCATTTAGTATTCAAGTTACCATAGTAACAATATTTAAGTACATAATTAACTGTCCAAGTTACCATGGTAACAATTAGTATCGTAACAACACTCACAAAAACATTTTCATATATCAACAACTCAAGTTTCACTTTTCTAATTCTTCCAGCACTTTTTCTAGAAATGAAATCAAACATTTTGCAGATCTATATACAAAGGGCTTCCCATATTAAATATCTTGTAATCACAAATATTAGGTTATTGCATAGCAAATTAATAAGGCAAACTTTGACATACATGAATCGAGCTCCTTACAGTAAGTGAAAATGACAATCTACATAGAGCAGACTAATTATTTCTTTAATATTTGTAAAACACTATACTTGTCAGTTTTAGACCTCATGTTGCATGTATACATCAATGAAAGTTCAACTTTTTCTGGGTGTTATATGATAATGAGAAAACAAATACAAGCATTTGTTCATTATGTAAACCTCATGATTGGTGTCTATTTCTGGTAACACTTAGAATTTTAAAAAATCACAGAACCCATGTGCAAGATGTTTTATCACCTTAATACACTTCAAGTGGAATGGATAGCATAGCAGAGTAAAATTACTAGAACAGGCCCTTACAAACGCATTAACAAATACAGGCAATGTTTAATAGCACTACTCAACAAAATATATAACAGCAGTAACTTTACAGGAGACAATTATATGCACTTAATTAATATAAACCATAACATGAATTGCTATACATTGTTTTTATATAATTTTACACTAATTTGCATAAAACATATTACACATCAATTCAAATAAAATGAAAGTAAAAGTTGCTGCCAATCATGAGAAATACTAATGTGATATGAGTGAACCTTAAGGCATTAATAGACATGCAGATCTGCTGATTCCAATGCTAAACATGGTATAATAACAGTCCAATATGTACTTTAGGTTCTGTTCTAAATTTACCAATTGCCATACTTGTTTTCTAATAAGCCAAAGAATGAATGTATGGGATGGCCTTATTCTTAATACAGGATAAAATCTGAATTTATATTAACAATAGACATGTGGTCTTATTAGCAGGCATGAGCTTATTATTATAAATATAGCTCAATTAAATTTTATCAGGTTATACAACACACTAAGAAACTAAATAGGAATGAAAAAGACAAAATACTGACCTCAACATCAATGCATGCTTTCAATTTTTCTGATTAAATCTGCTATTAAGATAACCAGAGCAATGCATTTAAATAACATGATCACATGATATTGAAAACAGCCAATACTTTATAAGAAAACAGATGTTCTTTTGCAATTTGTCGTTTTTCCAGACAAGTTCTCGATCCTTTTGCAGCGAGAGTTCTTCCATGCATATTCAATCGAATTCAAAAATAATTACCTTTAAAAGGAGTTTTAATTATCGTAACACAAAAAAATAAAATTTTATATTTCATAGTTATTACATATCTAAGACTAAAAAGAATGTTATATTATTGTATCACAAATTTGTAAACATGAAAATCACGTGTATAACATGAATTGATATATGAAGGTACATATTCCTCCCACAACCATTCAGTCTGCTTAGAAAACAACCACAAGGATTACTCACGGATAGTGAGATATAGAAACAATAGCTTCGTATAAGTCACATGCCTACCTGAGTGAGACCGGTCAAATCCCTAAATGTTTCTACTGGCCCGTACTTACTATCAGCATCTTCAATGATATTATGCAGTTTACTACAGTAACTTTAAAAATCAGTATTTTTTTTCACAAATGGTTCACTAGGCTTTAGAATTGATTAATCAGACTCTAAATATAGTATGAGCAAATAATTTCTGTAAAAACAAGCAACTCTGCATACACCTACACAGGTAATTAATAACACTTGAAAGCATCAAAGTGTGACAACTGATATAGCTCTATCAATAGAACATGAATATTTACAACCTCAAGTAAATATCTGGGGTTGTGTTGTAAGATCCTTAGCGGCTACAGTTGAAATTGAGATCACAGACTACCTGTTTTTATAGGGGTTGTGTCCTTGGCAACAAGTCTTAATCCATATTGCTTTTGATAACATGTGATGGACCTCCTGTATGTTGTTCAGTGATGTAGCCACTAGCTATTAAAATGAAACCCAACTTTAAAATGACTGTTCACAAGGCTTTTTCATAAATCTATCAGCTCCATGATTTTTCATATACCTAGATTTTTAAATTACGATATGTAATATCCAGGTAAAATCTCTCCTAGCAAATCTAAATTTGCCCAACATTACATTGTAGTTTCGTGAATTCAATCAATACCAAATCCAGAATTCTGAAAAGCAAATTCAAACTTTATACAATTTTTGTTCTTGCTACAAGCAATTATCTGATCACATCAATATTTCATAATTCCATATTCCACACCAAATCTGGATTTTGAATATGTTAATCAAAACCTAATCCAGATTTTGTGATTTCAATCCAAACTATAAATTTATATATGTCAACAACAAGTCAATAATCCAAATCTACCTGGTAATCAAAATTTTGAAACTGTAGTCATATATCTAAACCAAATCAATATTCAAACAAATCATTAAACCAACGTTTGTCAAAGTCCAACTGTCAGTAAACCTTCATCTAAATATATGTATGCAGTTTCATAAAAGATCCCACAAAGTTTAAATATTTTTGAACCTCCAAAACGTCCTCCTCAATATTCATGTTCCTTAAGCTACTCCTTTGTCACTCATTTAAACCTTAATATGTGCATCAGGTATTCACACCTTTCAGTCTCACAATATATAGGTCATACAACTGAAGATTTACAAATGGAGGTTACTCAACCAAACCTTTTCTCGACCACTCAACCAAAGCAAGCCTTCAATGAAACTGTAACAGAACCAAAAACTTCAACTATTACCTAGGTCATTCGAAGAAATCATTCTCAGGTATCTACTTTATTCAACCAAACCACTCCTGGTAACACAAGTCAATCAAAATATTCTGTCTTGAGTATCTAGGTCATTCAATCAAACCTTCCCTGGGTATTTAGGTCATACAACAAAACCTTCCCTAGGTATCTAGGTCATTCAACTAAACCTTCCCTGGGTATTAAGGTAATACAACTAAACCTTCTCTAGGTATCTGAGTCATTCAACTAAACCTCCTCTAGGTATTTAGGTCATTCAACTAAACCTTCCCTAGGTATTTAAGTCATTCAACTAAACCTTCCCTCTAGGTATCTAGGTCAATCAACTAAACCTTCTCTAGGTATCAAGGTCATTCAACTAAACCTTCTCTAGGTATCTAGGTCATACAACTAAACCTTCTCTAGGTATCTACGTCATTCAACTAAACCTTCTCTAGATATCAAGGTCATTCAACTAAACCTTCTCTAGGTATCTAGGTCATTCAACTAAACCTTCTCTAGGTATCTAGGTCATACAACGAAACCTTCCCTAGGTATCTAGTTTCTTCAACAAAATCTTCCTTTAGTAAACTAAACCTTTTCTAGGTATCATGTTCATTCAATGAAACCTTCTCTAGGTATCTAGTTTCTTCAACAAAATCTTCCTTTAGTATCAAGGTCATTTGACAAAATCTTCCTTGAGTATCTAGGTCAATCAACTAAACCTTCTCTAGGTATCTAGGTCAATGAACTAAACCTTCTCTAGGTATCTAGGTCATTCAACTAAACCTTCTCTAGGTATCTAGGTCATACAACTAAACCTTCTCTAGGTATCTAGGTCATTTAACTAAACCGTCCCTAGGTATTTACGTCATTCAACTAAACCTTCCCTAGGTATTTACGTCATTCAACTAAACCTTCCCTAGGTATTTAGGTCATACAACTAAACCTTCCCTCTAGGTATCTAGGTCAATCAACTAAACCTTCTCTAGGTATCTAGGTCATTCAACTAAACCTTCTTTAGGTATCTAGGTCATACAACGAAACCTTCCCTAGGTATCTAGTTTCTTCAACAAAATCTTCCGTGAGTATCAAGGTCATTCAACTAAACCTTCCCTAGGTATCTAGGTCATTCAACTAAACCTTCTCTAGGTATATAGGTCAATCAACAAAACATTTCTCAGTTACAGGTCATTCAACCAAACTCTCTTATGTCATCTAGTTCATTCAAACAAATCCTTCTGAGACACCCAATAAAAAGTATCTAGGTAATTCAACTAAACTCTTTTCAGCTATCTACTTCATTTCAACCAAACCATTCATCTGTATCTATGTCATCCAACCAAATCTTCCCAAGGTATCTATGTCATTCAACCAAATCCTCCCAAGGCAATCCTGTTACTTACAGAATTACTCAACAAAACCGTTCATTGTTAGGCTTGTGTTCAACCGAAACATTCTTAGGTATCACTCAACCAAAGCCTCTAGAGAGTGTTTGCACGATTAGAGTCTCTACAGAGTGTTCATTCAACCAAAACCTCTAAAGAGTGTTGACTTAATCACAACCTCTCTAGGTTTTACTGTAATTGCTATAACTTGGTATCCATCACAGAGCGTGGTCGCTCAATAACAACATTGTTTTGGGGACTAACTTCACCATTGTTTGGGGCTGCTGGCATAGAATTGTTATCTGTAACACCTGCCTCACTCTCCTTCATTGTTTTGTCTTTATCTGTCGTCTGGACCCGAGCCACAGCTATGTGCAGACACTGGACCCACTGTTCAATATTTTGTTGCCCTTTAGCTTTGAATGTGTAGGTCTGATCACCTGTGAAGATCTCAAAAGCTTTTGGAATGTCCCTCACTCCCTTACGAACAGCTTTGACACTCTGAATCTTACTGACTGGAAGTGTTTCTTTTCTCTACAAAAAGGGAAAAAAATGAGTTAAACCATGATCTACTGATATAACACAAGGTCATACCTTAAATAACAAGTATCTCGTACATTTTGGGTATTTTTTTTTTCTAATTCTCTTTAAGAATATTATGCTACAATACTTTATTTTGAATATCACTACAACTGAATATATATATATATACATATCTATATATAAGGATATCAAAGACACATCAGAATCACCCAACTGTTATGAATATAAGAGTTTCATGGATGTGCATGCGTCACTTGCCCAGCAAGGTTTCTGAAGATGAGTTTTATTGAAAAATAGCCACAGATATTCCTTGTATTTACTCCATATATAATTTGTTTGACTAAATACAGCAGGAACAGGGAAACCCCAACTGAAAAGCGATCTCAAACAAACCCCTTTGGTTAAGAAGCATTGTATGAAGTTTAGTCTAATTTTCCAAAAAATGCTCAAAGTAATCACACAAAACCAATTTTCATTTTACAGCTACGATGACCTTGACCTAAAACGCAAGTACCTTTCTTAAGGTTACTGTACAAAAACAAATCTTCTACTTATAGTAACAATGACCTAGACCTTTGACCTTTAAACATAAAAAGCAATCCCATGCAAGGCTCATGAAGCACTGCATGAAGTTTGAGTATAATTATCCACAGAAAACTCAAGTTATTGCATGAAAACCAATCTCCTATATATGATAACATTGTCCCTGACCTTTAACCTTCAAACCTCCGAAGCAATCCCAAGGAAGCACTTCTGATAAGGAAGCAATATATGATGTTTGAGGTAAATCGGCCAAAGTGCATTGAAGTTATCATAAAAAAAAAATCCTATTTATAGTAACAGTGACCTTGACCTTTGACAATCAGACCTGAAAAGCAATCCCAAGCAAGCACTTTTGATAAGGAAGCACTGTATAAAGTTTGAGGTAGATCAGCCAAAATGAACACAAGTTATCACGAGAAAAACTGACGGGGATGCATGACATAGTAATACATATTTGTTGCCTTGGGAAGCAACACAAAAATGGTGCCTCAGTGACCATATAAAAGATGACAGAATACATTTGAGTTCTTGACAGTATAATGAAGATTTGTCAAAGACTTTAGATTTTGATAAAGTATTGTAAGTCTTGTGACACTGACATTATTTTCAGTTTTTGTGCTACAGTATTTATTTTCCAGTATTGAGGCTGAAAATGTATATAAACTTTGGTTTTCCAGTACAGTGTTGATGTATGTGTTCTGTTAAACTGTCAATATGTACTAACAGAATGACTCTTGTTGTAGGTGATTTGTGCCCCTGATAATGTGAAGTATCTTGTCTTCCAACGTTTTAAAAACTTCCATCTTCCTTTCTTCTCTTTGAGTTGTCCCTGTGAATGGAATGGTATAAGTTTGAGAAGAAAATTACACAAATTTCTGGGTAGTGGTTCTACTCTCCAACTCTCAGAGATAGGCAAACACACATATTCAGATCAATATTTACCAGCATGACTTGGACTGCTGGGAATTTGTCTGCAGAAATTCTGGATTATGTCATAACAAAGAGATTGAATTATATGGTAATTTACTATGTTGATGAAAACAGAGCTAATGGCAAAGTCCAAAAAAGTAGTTCAAATTTATCATAATGAAATAAAAAGCTTCTCTATACGAAAAACTCAAAATCCAAAAGCATTTCCTGATCAGGATATAAATCAATGTGTAAAGTCTGACTACACTGTGAGAGAGTAATGGATGAATGCTGAGTCATTAATGACAAATGTGTAAAGTCTGACTACACTGTGAAAGAGTAATGGATGAATGCCGAGTCATTAATGACAAATGTGTAAAGTCTGACTACACTGTGAGAGAGTAATGGATGAATGCCGAGTCATTAATGACAAATGTGTAAAGTCTGACTACACTGTGAGAGAGTAATGGATGAATGCCGAGTCATTAATGACAAATGTGTAAAGTCTGACTACACTGTGAGAGAGTAATGGATGAATGCTGAGTCATTAATGACAAATGTGTAAAGTCTGACTACACTGTGAGAGAGTAATGGATGAATGCTGAGTCATTAATGACAAATGTGTAAAGTCTGACCACACTGTGAGAGAGTAATGGATGAATGCTGAGTCATTAATGACAAATGTGTAAAGTCTGACCACACTGTGAGAGAGTAATGGATGAATGCTGAGTCATTAATGACAAATGTGTAAAGTCTGACTACACTGTGAGAGAGTAATGGATGAATGCCGAGTCATTAATGACAAATGTGTAAAGTCTGACTACACTGTGAGAGAGTAATGGATGAATGCCGAGTCATTAATGACAAATGTGTAAAGTCTGACTACACTGTGAGAGAGTAATGGATGAATGCCGAGTCATTAATGACAAATGTGTAAAGTCTGACTACACTGTGAGAGAGTAATGGATGAATGCTGAGATTAATGACAAATGTGTAAAGTCTGACTACACTGTGAGAGAGTAATAGATGAATGCCGAGTCATTAATGACAAATGTGTAAAGACTACACTGTGAGAGAGTAATGGATGAATGCTGAGTCATTAATGACAAATGTGTAAAGTCTGACTACACTGTGAGAGAGTAATAGATGAATGCTGAGTCATTAATGACAAATGTGTAAAGTCTGACTACACTGTGAGAGAGTAATAGATGAATGCCGAGTCATTAATGACAAATGTGTAAAGTCTGACTACACTGTGAGAGAGTAATGGATGAATGCTGAGTCATTAATGACAAATGTGTAAAGTCTGACTACACTGTGAGAGAGTAATGGATGAATGCCCAGTCATTAATGACAGAATTTTACAGCAGTATTTTTACAATATAGCATCCTGAGTGACTTTCTACCACAATAGCTGGATGTAATTTAACTCCAAGGCATCAAATAATCATTCCAACCTATTTAACATGTTTTACAACATGTGGTATGTATAAATACATCTAATTACACAGGTAACTTTTATCTAATAGCTTCTCAGCTTCAGGGTGCAACAAGATCTTCTCACAAAATCTGTTTGGAGATTGTTAATTAAAATACATGTACCACCCTGATTAATTGTGTATGACAAGATGTTATTATGTTATATTAATTGCATTTAATTTCTATATCTGTAATCATTCAGGATGTTCATTTTGCAAACCTGTTTCACAAATACATGTACCATAGACATGTACATCACAAAACCATATTTGTTCGGGAATTTTCGTAGACTAATGATGGTCACAAATCTAATGTGAATTTCTCCCATGTGAAAATTTCAACATTTACGGTATTTAGTCAGATCAATTAAATTTTCCTATGTCAAAAATTTCAACATTTACGGTATTTAGTCAGCTCAATTAAATTCTCCCATGTCAAAAATATCAACATTTACGGTATTTAGTCAGATCAATTAAATTCTATGTCAAAAATTTCAACATTTACCGTATTTAGTCAGCTCAATTAAATTCTATGTCAACATTTACCGTATTTAGTCAGCTCAATTAAATTCTATGTCAAAAATTTCAACATTTACAGTATTTAGTCAGCTCAAATTCTTCTATGTCAAAAATTTCAACATTTATGGTATTTAGTCAGATCAATTAAATTCTATGTCAAAAATATCAACATTTACGGTATTTAGTCAGCTCAATTAAATTCTATGTCAAAAATTTCAACATTTACGGTATTTAGTCAGATCAATTTATAAAATGGATAACTTGCACCTGCAAATGCACTACAAACAAATATGATGACTCATTGGATGGAATCCTTATTGTGAAGTTACTAGTGATTTTTCATGAAATAAAGTACCTCTGAGTTGTATATATATGTAGCGTGCGTGTCTAAAATAAAAAAAAAACGAGAGAAAATGGTCCATTTTCATTTTACTTAGAGTCACCGTCGCTTGGATTGGATATATGCTTCTACTTTCGTTTTCAAAATGTCATATGAGAAATGTGCTCTCTTTGGAAATCTAATATAATCTTGAATTGACCAGGGTTACTACCATGAATTTTGTTTTTTCTGAATTCACTGCACATATAATATTTGATTATGAAAATGATTTGAAAAGCCATCAGGAGAGGTTCTTAAAAGATGCAGAACATCCACAGATTTCTTGTTGAGAACATTCCTTTAAGATATGATGAAAGACATTCACTAGTTAGATGCTGCTTAACAAAAAATTTCAAGGATCATATGAACTCTTACAGGGCTATCAGTCTTTCATATTGACTAGACTTTCTACTGTGTTTTATTCTACTGTCAATCTAAGCAGACTATGTAGCACTTACAGCTATCACAGGGTTGCCATTCTGCAGCAGATCTAACATCTTCTCTGGGTGATTGCACATGAAACAGGCCCAATACTTCTTAGCAGCATTGAACTCAAATACATCAAAGAACCGAGAACTCTGAAGCTCTTGTAAAAGGATGTCCTGGTCCTGAAGTTTATACAACAATAAAGCAAAATATAGATACTTTTTTACAACTATTATCCATAGCATAATATTAAGTAGGGTTTTCAGCATGAAATACTCTGTACTACAAGTCAAAAATGCCTCAAAAATTTATGAGTAACTGTGGTCTGGATGTAAAAGTTGGCATTATAAGCATGGAAATATTTCTTCTTGCCAGCCTAGCATGTAACATTTTTATGGAATGGTGGAATATTTTGTGTATCAGTTTGCAATAAGGAAACCCTGATACTGTAGAATTTTGTTGTGTTTATGAAACAAAGTTTAAACAAGGAAATCAACTCTTGCTTCCTTTATTAATATTCCTTTATTATTCATATTACAAGAAGTTAAATAAGTCACATTATGATTATTCAACCATAACATAAATTCTTACTCTAATATTTCAGCTTTACCCAATAATTGGACAAACTTTAATTATGCTAACTTTTCCCCTTATTTTTTAGAGAGATTGGATGTATAAAAATATTCAAAATGAGTGTATGTATATTCCATGAAATTACTGATACTTATCAAATCATTTTTAGATCTGGTAAGTCTCAAAGGGACGGTTTTCTATAAATAGACCTGGGCATGAGACCCCTAGACCATCCCGTTGCCGTCCCTGGTAAAACCAACCTTAGGTGAGGGGAATGAAGAGGTGACAAGGGTGAGGAAACTGCTCCGGTCACCCCAGAGACTGTCCCAACAGCCCCGTAATGACTGGATACTGGCATCATTCTGATTCAGCGCTGAGGTAGACTGGGCCTGTGAAAATTCAATAAATTTTCTGCCATTGCATCACTCTAAGATTGATATAAACATTATATCATAAAGAAGGATATGTATTGTTATAATTCTTAAGGGTTAAAATCTAGACTACAACAAATTAGTTTAGCACAATATAAAACTATAACTGTCTGTTTATCTTTCTGCAGCAATGTAGTACATTGGTTAACTAAACCAAAATGTACCCGATCAATACAACACAATAGTTAACCCACTCCTGCCAATAAACCCTGACTTACAACAATTGCGAATTCGGCTAAAAGACAGAAACTGCTATTGACCTGTAATAAGCCCATCTTCCAAAATTGGGTCAGAGTAAATGTGTGGGCTTATTGCAGGATAAATATTGTACTATATGAATTATATGGTAATATATTATATGGATATACCTGTACAGCCAGAAACATTACATGGATCCAGGTTTTTGGTACTTTGGTATTGAGAGAAAAATAGGTGTTGCCATAGAGACATTGGTCACCTTGACCACCACACAGGAAGTTGAGTCTTATATACCGCTTGTGGCGCCCATCTACAACACATCAAATATATATCTGTCACCAAGAAGCTTTTTTTTTTTGTCATAAGTATATAAGGTACAACATCTTGCCTGTCCATTTTCCTGTAACCAATTATGTTCATCCTGTGACCAATTAAAGCAGCCTTTTTGAAACTCAAAACACATATGCTGCAATAGTAATCAAATCAGCCTTGGAATTATCTCTTAATCAAAATCCATGCAATATTATTATCATTATTATTTTTCTTTCCTTTTTGTTTTCTTTTTTAATACAAGTACCCAGGTATTAGATAAGTCATAAGTCAGCAAAAAATAAGTAAGTTTTGCTGAAGCCGTTTTAAGTATTACAATAAAAACGTTTATGTGGTAAGATTACTACTACATACAGGATTTATCCTCTGTAAAAATTTTAACACTATTTCAAAATAATTAAAACTTTTTTTATTTTTTTAATCGTCATTCAAATCTTAAGTTTACAAACAGGCACCATTCCCTTTCGGCTTCGTGTCATAAATGGATAAAAAACAGCCTTACTAGTTAGTACATTTTATAAAAACACAATACTTACTGATAATGCTACACTTAGAAGGCAGAGGAATACGCACAGAGATACTCTCTATGAAATTCCGAATGATGGGCATGTGTTTTTCACAGAAGTTCTGGACCCCGTCACGCAGAGGCTCTGGCTGTTGATATAAACGGACATAGGACTTTATACAAATATCAGTAAATAGTAAATGTACACAACAACATACCACGAGGGTCAACATTAACAGATGTCTGCACAATAATTGTATTTTTAATTATCATAACATATCTGTCTAAAAAACATGTTCAATATATTCTCTAAAGCAATTTTGCGCTGAATATGTAATCAGACATTGTTGTAGCCATAATTATGGGTTTTTTTTTTTAATTTTTGGCACTAATGTAAATCTATGAAACATGGCACATTCACAAATTAATTTGAGATGGAAGAATCAACTCTCCTGACATTGATCATGCTGAAATGTGAATAAGTAAATAAAATTTGAATTTGAAATAAAATTGTAAAATTTCAGAAGCATGCTATTTCATGGCTTGGAAGATAAGAGAGGCAATCTCATTAAACTACTATCTATACATCTATGTTATATAAACCACACTCTGCTTCACATAGTTTAAGGAAAGAGAACACAAATCAACGTTAATTTTAATCGGACAGATGAGAGAGGCAAATAGTTACGAGAATAAATATTACATTAACAAATCATTTAAATAAGTGACTTTTACAGACCCTAAATATACACACAATTTTTCCCCTTTCTGAACACCAACCAACAAAAAAGGTACATTTACAGGGGCATGGAAAGGTGCAAAGCATGACATAATTGATTCTTAAATGAGGATTACACACAGCCCAGAGGCTATTTAATACTCAAGTACATAATACAACAATGTAATATACAGTTTACAAAGACTTGGTTGTTTACAGTTTTTCTGTGACTCTATCACTAGGCATTTTCTTATCACCAACAAATTCCTGATTTTCATGTGACAATTTAGAAAAGTATGTGTCATTTTATCCAGGACTCGTAGGAAGCTTAATCACAGCATACTCGATCATTTAATTATACTCACAATTACACAAAAGCAGAAAACAATTTCAAATGGAAAGCGATTAAAAACAGGATAGATAGAAACTGAGTTACTACATACATCATAGACAATTTGTTGTTATTTACAGATTAGTATAAGATCAAAACATAATTAACACCTAATAATCATTAATTGATAATAATTGATATTTGTGTTTGTCCTCTAATGTTCTAGTTTTCTTGGTACCTGCAGATATCCAATTAAACACTAACATGTAGAAAATAAATTAATAATGGTAAAGGTATCTATTTGTTTATATAACAAGTTTTACGTTCACTGTTACAGCCTGGAGTTAGGAGTGATGGGAGAGGGTGGGATACACACATGATGACCTCCCATTGACAGAAGTTAGGAGTGATGGGAGAGGGTGGGATACACACATGATGACCTCCCATTGACAGAAGTTAGGAGTGATGGGAGAGGGTGGGATACAAACATGATGACCTCCCATTGACAGAAGTTAGGAGTGATTGGAGAGGGTGGGATACACACATGATGACCTCCCATTGACAGAAGTTAGGAGTGATGGGAGAGGGTGGGATACACACATGATGACCTCCCATTGACAGAAGTTAGGAGTGATTGGAGAGGGTGGGATACACACATGATGACCTCCCATTGACAGAAGTTGAAGGGTTCCTACTCTACAGGAATTTAGATATGTCTAAGATATATTGGATGTCAGTGTTAATTTCCTGATACATAGCCCCTAATGCTATCCTAGGCCTAACCTGTCAACTAGCATTATCATGTCTGCTCTATTTTTGAAAACACTGAAAGATCTTTATTGTGCACGATTCACATTTGAACATGGCCCAAAATTTTTATGCACAACAGAATACCTACCAGTAAAGGTGGACCAGTCTGTGTACTGTTTTACACAACAGAATACCTACCGGTAGAGGTGGACCAGTCTGTGTACTGTTATACACAACAGAATACCTAACGATAGAGGTGGACCAGTCTGTGTCCTGTTATACACAACAGAATACCTACCAGTAAAGGTAGACAAGTCTGTGTCCTGTTATACACAACAGAATACCTACCGGTAGAGGTGGACCAGTCTGTGTCCTGTTATACACAACAGAATACCTACCAGTAAAGGTAGACAAGTCTGTGTCCTGTTATACACAACAGAATACCTACCAGTAAAGGTGGACCAGTCTGTGTCCTGTTATACACAACAGAATACCTACCAGTAAAGGTGGACCAGTCTGTGTCCTGTTATACACAACAGAATACCTACCAGTAAAGGTAGACAAGTCTGTGTCCTGTTATACACAACAGAATACCTACCAGTAAAGGTGGACCAGTCTGTGTCCTGTTATACACAACAGAATACCTAACAGAATACCTACCAGTAAAGGTGGAGTCTGTGTCCTGTTATACACAGTCTGTGTCCTGTTATACACAACAGAATACCTACCAGTAAAGGTAGACAAGTCTGTGTCCTGTTATACACAACAGAATACCTACCAGTAAAGGTGGACCAGTCTGTGTCCTGTTATACACAACAGAATACCTACCGGTAAAGGTGGACCAGTCTGTGTACTGTTATACACAACAGAATACCTACCAGTAAAGGTGGACCAGTCTGTGTCCTGTTATACACAACAGAATACCTACCAGTAAAGGTGGACCAGTCTGTGTCCTGTTATACACAACAGAATACCTACCAGTAAAGGTGGACCAGTCTGTGTCCTGTTATACACAACAGAATACCTACCAGTAAAGGTGGACCAGTCTGTGTCCTGTTATACACAACAGAATACAGTAAAGGTGTGACCTGTTATACACAACAGTCTGTGTCCTGTTATACACAACAGAATACCTACCAGTAAAGGTGGACCAGTCTGTGTCCTGTTATACACAACAGAATACCTACCAGTAAAGGTAGACAAGTCTGTGTCCTGTTATACACAACAGAATACCTACCAGTAAAGGTGGACCAGTCTGTGTCCTGTTATACACAACAGAATACCTACCAGAGGTAGACAAGTCTGTGTCACAACAGAATACCTACCAGTAAAGGTGGACTACCTACCAGTAAAGGTGGAAAGGTGGACCAGTCTGTGTACTGTTATACACAAAAGAATACCTACCAGTAAAGGTAGACAAGTCTGTGTCCTGTTATACACAAAAGAATACCTACCGATAGAGGTGGACCAGTTTGTGTACTGTTATACACAACAGAATACCTACCGGTAGAGGTGGACCAGTCTGTGTACTGCCATATGTCATTGCACTTGTCATTGATAGGCGGTCTGAGAACTGGCTGGACAATGGACTGACCGGACGATCCATTGTTAGTCGTGCTTGGGAAGCACTCGCTCTGAAAAGAAATATCAATCAGTTCTATGTAAAGTAAAAGTATAAATATTCAATAGGGATTTAATGGTTTTTTTCTCTTAAGGATTTGGATAAAACAGTTTCCAATATATACAAAAATGTATATGATGTCATAAACTGGATACAAACATTCCATTTAAATCAGAGAGTAATGTTCTGGACATTCAAATGGTCCGCTGAATGCCCTGATGCTGCTGTGCTCATCAATCTTATTGTACAGCAATGTTGGCACCTATGTTTCTGTTAATTTTCAACATTCATAACCATCTTTCAGTCAAAATTAAGTCTCAAAATAATCATATGCCTAAAGTCAAGACTTTCAATAGTCAACTGTCTTTGAGCTCTACCACAATACAGCATGGAAGATATTCATATTATGACGAATGATCTGCACAAGCTTTAAAATTGGTCGCATCAATGGCTTCTGAAATTCATCCAAATTCATCATACATATTATATGAATATAGAACTTTCACTGAAAATAAACTTCCCTTTGTTCTAAGTTCAAAACAAAACAACAAAACTGGTCATACAGAGATCAATATAAACCTGTTATCCATGAAATTTACTTTTATTTCATGCTGTTGACAAATTCAACAATCAACACAAGCTCTTTAGAGCTTTTAATCATGACACTGCTAAAGCAGCAATGCTATTTTGGTTGTTGGAGGAAAAACAATGTGTCATCAGAAGGGAAACAACCACAGATGCAAGTATGTCTCAAACCTGTACGTGAGAGTAAAATGGTCTGGAGATCATGCTTGGTTGGACACATCATAAAAACCATACTGTCAGCACAAAAACACTGACTGTATAACCATTTATTTTCATGCAGCTCAATTTTTGTGTTTTTCCAAAAAATATCACTGTTTCATGGGCACTTGTTTTCGTGATAAATACAGCTATATAAAGCCACTAATACTAATTAGAACAGTGTATGGACACATGAATTTGTGGACTCTGAGTAACCATGAAATCAGTAAAACTTAATCCCCCAATAAAGACTGATGGTTATACAGTATGGATACAGAGGCACCCAACATCACCTAAATTAGCATTTCTGCTTCCATAGTCATTTGTGTAGCTCTCAGGTCAAGGTCAAAGTCAGAGCCCAAATATCAGTTTGGTTCCTGATAAAAACTTGTACATGTACTGGCATACTCAGCCTCATATCTATACATGAAATTTTGGCCAAGATATGAACCAAAAATCAATTCTATCTGATGTCAAAGGTCAAAAGGAGGTCAAAATAATCAATTTTACATTACACTTTCCTACCAAATCTACCATGTCTTCAACTGATGTCATGCCTTCATTTCATATACTGTACTCACATACAAAGTGATCTGAAAGCCATACCCAAACAATAACAGAGATATGCTCTGGAAACTTCCCAAACTAAGGTAAAATGTCCAATGTCAAACAAAGTCGTACTGACTTCTTTTTTGGTGCTTGACAGAGATATCTAGAGCATCATTGCACTAAGTCAAAAGACCACACACCAATCTGTGGTTGAGATATGTTCCAGAAACTGTCAAATGGCTTGATAGACACAGGGACAAAGCAAACCATAACTATACCCCTATCTTCATCTGAGCTGAGGTATAAAAACATAAAAAAGACTCAGACACTGATTGAGTGCTCAATACATCATGATAATTTAAGAAAAACTGTAGAAGCAGAAACTATCCAACATACCGTGATGACTTGGTCAGACTCTGCTGGCTGGACATGTTGCTGGGTGGCAGCGCTGTGTGACGAATGGCCACTGCACCACTCGGATAGGCAGCATTAGGAGGATTACCAACAGTGATGATGGTGACTGTCCCTTCTGTCTGGCTTGACACTGATCGTGTCTGTTTGGTGTTTTCTGCAGGAGCAGGTGATGAGCTGAATAAGAACAAACACTTTATTTCATGCATAATGTTAGCATTTTTTCTGTTAGTAAAAAGCATGTATATCTCAGCAATTGTTAAGCTCAATACCACAACCTACCAGAAATTTAATTGAAATATATTTTTATAATTTTCAAATTATGTAGATATTGTATAATATATATATTGACTAAATCATTTAAGATTTTGTAAAACCTGAAATTTATGTGATTGTAAAAGTGACGAGAAGATCCCAGAGGTATCTTGTCATCCACCATTGTTTGATCTTTATGTGCTTTTTGATAGTTGGATCTTTTCCCTTCTTTTCCTCTCTGTTTTTGCTCTTAATGGTGAGAAATTTAAACATTTCTTTGCAGAAATAGTGATGATAATCTTTAATTACCAAATCCATAATGATGATCCCTTAGAAGCCTATTTATTTCCTGATCAGACCCAAAATCAAACAGACACAACTAGAGACCAAAGGGAACTGACATTTGAAATTTGAGAGATCCATCCAATACTTCTTTAGAAATAGGGATAACATACTTTACAAGGCGAAATCCATGATGGCTGCCTATTGCCCATTTTGTTTCTCTGATCAGTCCTAAAATCAAACGTGAACAACCAGGGACCAAGGGGCCTCCACACTTTAAATATGAGAAAGATCTAAGCAGTAATACTCAAGAAATAGCAATAACAAACTTGCAAAGTCAAAATCAAAGATGGCCCCCTGTCGGCCGTTTTGTTTTTCTGATCAGTCCCAAAATCAATCGCGATCATCCAAGGACTAAAATGAAGCTACGTAGGAAATTTGAGAGAGATCAATCTGGCGCTTTTCAAGAAGCAGCGATAACAAAAACTGTTTACATATGGACGGAGGGAAGGATGATGGTGGGCTCATAATGAAAGATTGCTAAGAGGCAAAAAGATATTTTCTTGCATCTTATCAGTAACCAAACAGCTATGTAATAATAAGGTGTCACAAATGTGAAGTAAATGCATCATATTACTATCATTTTCTATACTAATTTTACCTTGTGGTTATCATAAGAAACAACATCTTCATTCCTCTTTCATGGAAGAAAACAATGATAAAATATACTTTAATAATACTTTCATCTTTCAAGGAAATCAACATTATCACAGTCAACATTAAAGCATTTCTTGACAAAATCTTAGCAACATGGAGCGATACTCCATGTTAGATGGAACTAGATCTTGTATCTCTGAATCTGGTACTCAACTATTTGTTGTTATCTTCCTTCAGCTGCTGGACAAGGATTCTGACTGCACTGGACCCATTTTGAGACAACTTTGAGATTTCCTCAAGATTCAAAGCCAGGAGATCATGGTTGTTTAAGCTGAGTGCCTAAATTCATAATATAAAGCATCTATATGAAACAAATCCATTATGATAAGCCAACTGATTTTTCTCCAAAATGGAAAAATTAAAAAAAAATAAATAAAAATGATTGTGTCTGGACACTTTTGATACAGAGTAGCTGAATAAGGACTGTGATTACAGGCATCTTGTTTAAAATCTCTGGATTATATATGTATATCAGGAATTGATGTACACATGGATTATATTTCATAAGCAGCACAACTCACATTACATATGTCCGTGTTAGTAAGGGACAAGCACTGGACTACATGAGAGTTATGTCTGTTTTATATTTCAAAGTTACCTGATGGTTTAAAGTTCTGTAAAGGAATTTCAAAAATCTGAAAATTTGACTAAAGTTAATGTTTTAAATTGTCTGTTTGATAAGATACTATGTAATATGTAACCTTGATTACAACTTTGGCTTAATCGCTTCTGTACTCAAAATTAGTCACTCAATCTGTCAGTAAGCTCATGTCTATTAATATGCCTATCTACACTTTGAAACACATGCCAATAAATGCTTTGACAGTGTCATTGCCTTCTCATAATCCCACCTCCCTAGGTGGAGTTTGGCATATGAGTTGCCTTCACAAATTTATTACAAGATAAATACTGTTACAATATTTCTACAAATCATCTAGCTTGTGACTCTACCTTGATTTCCTGTAAAATAACAGTAAGTACTGTCTGGTCTGCACTAGCAAACTGAGACACAAAGTACTCCATACTCTTCCTGGCATAGTCCTAAAACAGACATCAATATTTCTATTGTACAAAACATACAAAAGCTGATCTTAAAACACTTACTTAAAGTTGTTGAAAATAAACATGTCCAAAAAAATATCCCCCTCCCAAAAAAAGGTGGGATGGGGGTGGGGGTAGGAATCTGAATGAATAAGTCAAAAAACAGTTTTAATGTTCAATATATTATACTAAGATTGTTCAAGGAATATGTGTAAATAATTTCAAGTTGATTCAAATATATTTCAAAAGAGGTTCTTTCTATTTCTCAAAATCTAATCCCCCTTCCCTCATCTCACCACCACAAAACAAAACTTACAGTACATGCAACTCTACCTTGTTAAGGGTTGCTAGGGCACCCATTATCTGTATAACTTGTATAAGGAATGTTGGTTGTTGCTCAGCAGCCTTCTGTAGAGTGGGCACATGGTCAACAAATATAAAGGGATTGGCTGTTGCCATGTCAACAAACAGACACAAAATCATACTGGACAATGGAGTTGAGGACAGGTACTCTACAAACTTTGGTACATGCTTTTCAAGCACCTGAAACAAAAACATATATTGGTATTTAATTATTTGAAAACAAGGAAATCAGGAATTTCAATTACACTGTATGTAGTATTTACAATGAAATTTGGTGGTGACCTCTGACTCAAGTTATGAGATGGACTACACTGATACTTAAACAAAGGTGCGATACCATCTGTACAGGACCTATGACACTAAATCTGCCAGGAATTCTGTTTTATCTACTAAAGAGTCCCTTCCTGAATTTAGATTTGGGAAAATATTGCACACTCTTGGGAATTAAATTTATAATTGGTGTCTGGTAAAAGAAACCTTCATTTATTTGACTTAAGAAAATGTATGGGTATTACACATTTCAATATATGTGGGTGGTTAGGTTCAATTGTAAGCTTCCAGTTGCTGATGTCTGAAGGGGATGACAATCCTAGATGTCATTTAACTAAATGAATTATCCCATTTGTAGCCTCTGACAGGTAGATTTCTATGAATTTAGAGTTGTCACTTATGTTAAACTTTAAATATCAATGTTATTACTTAAATGATAAGCAATAACATGTAGTATTTGATTTAGTTGCTGGAGTCCAACCGCTTACTGCAGGGCAGAATTCCTAAAATCACTTAAGGCAATGTAGAATTCCCAACAATCACTACTAAAAGGCTGATTTCCCTACAACTATTTACTTCCTGACAGAATTCCTAACAATCATTTACTGCATAACAGACAGGGTAATCAATTTGCAGTAATCCGTTACACAGGCAGGTGTTCAGTACACATCAATAACTTACTTTAGTGTCAGTCTTGGCAATCATTCCAAATACTTGAAACAGACTGAGTCTCTCGGATGGCTCACACTTGTCCACAATTTTAACTAAACGGTCAGTCTTATCAATGACCGCCTGTCGACATTGTGTGAATATCTGGGGGAGCACAGTACTCAGGATGTAGTTACCTGTGAGCATTCAAATATACATGTTGGATGTCAGGCATTCTAAAGTCAGCAATACAGAAAAGATAAATGTGGTTTTTTCTTTTATAACATGCTATTTTCATTGTGCAATTTTCAAAGTAAACCAAACACTGAAACTAAAGATGAAAACATTCTAGTCTCTGACATTCTACTTTTCTGAAGTATAAATAGCTATTCAAACAGACATTCCAGATAGCATTATTTACACACCTCTGAGTACACTGTTGAGGATGAGGTCCATGTGTCTGGCCAGGAGGTCAGCGTTGTCCAGTGCAGCCAGGGATAAGTAACTTGACACATTGCGGCCCAGTTCCTTATTATTACAGCATAAAAAGTTGACAACCACTGGTATTGCTAGGATCATTACTTTCCCTTTGCCATAGTGCTGTAAAAATAACATTTTAGTTTTCATCATTATCTTATTGATAAAAACAAATGTTGCAAAAATAAACTCTATTTCAATTACAGTAGAACCTCTCTTTGAAAATTTTGTGCTACCTCTTAAATCATACATAAAATTGCTTAAACATTTAAAAAATTAAACTGATGTAGTAAATAATTAATGCATTGTTTAACAAGAAAATGTCTGTAAGACATCAATGTCCCTGTTGTCAAGGATGTGACTGCCTGAAACACAACAATGTCATACTTGATCTTTGCCTTGAGTTTGAACCAAATTTGACAGCCACATCACTAGGTATATACATAACAGGGATGTTGAACCCCACACCTCTGATCTTCATCAGAGATGATACAGACCAATGCTCTACCCATTGAGGAACCAAAGCCCTAGAAACAAACGTAATTTGGCTCTTCCCTATATACATACACATCCAAATGATAAAACTGAATTAGGATTTGAACCTGACCATGAAGAGACAGCTCATGATGTCGGAGGCAATCTTGGCATGGGGTGGATCCTTCTCCTGGGATGATGGATTCAGGTTGTGTTTCTGACATAGCTCCAACAGGCGTACTAGGGCAATGGCATGCTCCTCAATACTCTCAGTTTCCCTGGAGGAAAGTATTGCTGAATTTTTAGCATTTATTTTTCTGATATATTCAAGAATATTTAGGGTCAATCTTCACAGAGTAAAGACAAATGTTACATGTAATTGCATTTATCAGACAACAGCAGACTGTTGAACCACCGTTTTCAAACCAAGAACAGATTACCTAATTAGTTACAGTAATGTTTGTGACCTAAAATGAATATAAAGCTCTAGATACACTTTCACATTTCTGTAAGGGTTACCATTCCACGAGCCAGATATCTACTCTCTAGGGAATTTTAGATGGGGGCTGCTGAATATTTCACTTTTAAGAAGAAATTGGATGTTGGCCCTTTAGTGTGTGTTTAGAATTTGCCAGTAATAAAGATTTAAACAATTAGGTATATACTATCATATCTTTTTATATAAAAAACATAAATTTGTCAACTCATAATTATCTAATGAATTTATATGCAGATATGTATAACTTGAACATGGTTACAAATAGTTCTGTATATTACATGACAGCAATGGTAACCTTGGTAACACAATCAATCTAAATTTTGCCTGAAAACTCTGCAGGTAACAAACATTTCTGTTTTTACCTGATGGTTGTGGTTATCCTGGTGATACATGCTTTACTCACTCACTCAAGCCAATGTTTTTACCAGCTGTATTATAACCCAGGAAAAATGTGTTTCTGCTTTAATTGATGGCATGAGTCTATGTGTATTGTAACCATGTTAACATGTCTTTGTCTTACCTATGGTGGTACATGTTATGTTTTTACCTGATGGCTGTTGTCACCCTGGTAACACATATTTCCACCACACTTTGGTCATTGTCGTTAGAAGCATAGTCTTTATTGTCGATAATCTCCCCGATTTTCTGAAGGACACTTATAAGGTCACCCTTGATGTCACGGTCCTCTAGAGAGAAAAGGTCGCCTGCCTTTGATAAATCCTTCTTGTTCAACACTTGGGCAAACAATTCATGCATTTTCTGCAAAATAACATACTTTTCCTTAAGACAGGTAGAAATTAATTAATTGCATCAAATGCAAAAGAGGTCTTTTCAAATTGTTGTGAAAATACCTAATGAGATATCATGATCAATATTCATACGGCTGATATAAACACAGTATCCCTGAAGATACCCTTTTTGAACTTTGTTCAGCTCAGCCAAGGCATTTTTTTCTTTTTGTAAAAAGTAAATGGTGAACTCATCAAATGAAAATGTATATATAAATATTTATGATATCTTTTCAGTAAGGTTTATCTCAATAATGAAACCGTCTAGCTCGTTGGAATCTGTTATTTTATAAACTGTTATTATTTTTCACATTTTGTCTGTATGTAACAGTTGAAAGGATCGTTGAAATGTGACGTTTTTCCTTTTTTTATTTATGACATGTTTGTTAACTTTTCATGCTTGTAATCATGAAGCCCCCTACCCCTATAATTTTTCTGTGTTTTTTACTTTAATAATCCTTTAATTTGTTTTGGTTTACTGTAAAGTACAACATATATCAAAGTTGACGAGTACACTAAGATTGAACCTTGTGACAACAAAAAGTTATTGATATAGTATAAAACAGCACTATACATGGAAGTTACATTTTATAAACTGTGGGTACTGTAGGTTCATCATGCAACATTTTTTTCATGAATTCAGGGATGATAGCTTGTAGTTGCTATTTAACAGGTGTTATCTAGTCATTGTATGCGAGCTTTCAATATTGTGTATATATTTATTGGTATTATTATTTACCAGTAATAAGAAGCTTATTAACTATGCATGCGTGGAGCCGTAATTTCAGACTAATTATTATTATACAGTGTGACAATCTGACCGCAGAGGATCGTATACAAATCCTAGTGCAACATTAGACTCAGAAATGAGTCGGGCTACACAATGAAAAGTTAACAGGAAATGTACCAAACCAACACTAACTGTTATACATAGCCAATAATATCATGTTTACCGACTGACAGACATGACATGAACAGTATAGTATACCTTACATATCCATTCATAAGATGTCACAGGTGTGCGCTCAGGTGAAAATTATTCCAACATAAGAACAAGGTTTAGAAATTACGTCAATAGTCAAGTAAGACTAAATGTCAATGCAACAAAAAATGTACTGAATACTTACTCCAAACACTTAACCACATTCCATTTTACAAATAACCTGTCAGATAGGATCGGACGACACAATTTTATATGTCAGGGGAGGTAACTATTACAAGAAAACAAAATTAGAAACGAAAGACAATCGAACATCCGGAAACTTTAGTATATAATGAAATATTGTATATAGCCATCCTCTTCATTTTGAGACAGCATAGGGGATAAAAGTATGTCATAACACTAATATGAAATGCGTGTAAGTGACTTTGAAATAGATGCAGATAAAAGCACAAAATTGTCAAATCTGCAAGCACCTGTTAAAAAATAACCAATCACAAACCAATCCTTATTCATCGCGGGCCATTCAAAACTTCCTGTCGTCTGAAAACGTATAGGAACGACATTTGAGAGATGACTTCGTAAAAACTTTTTTCTATCATCACAGGCAATGAAACGACGCACCTTTAGTTTCCTTATAGTATGTTTGCTTCCATCAACGACTGGGTTACTTGACTGGATATTTGGTTCAGATACGTCAAGGAGCGATGGGAAATTTAGAGGACTTGTTCCAAAGAGTGCTAATTTTGAAATGCAATCAACAGACGAGCAGTTCCTCACGGAGTTTTCAAAATATCTCATGGAGACAGAAATGGAGTCGCAGCTTGGTTTATGTTTTCACAAAGTATGAAGAAACATATGTTTTCCAATCATATTCACTGATACTGCCTTTAAATAATAATAATATACTGGATGCAGGCTTATTAAGCCTATATATCCAGATCAGAGTTTAAAAGAAATTATTTTCCCGAATATGGATCAATGTGTTATTGTCTAGTTCATAATTACAGGGACGTATATGACAGTGGCTGAGATGGGCAATGGTCTTCTTACTCTCAGCTCACTCCAAATCTATCAGTTATGAACAGTTACAGACACTGTCATATACGTCCCTGATGATTATAAACACATTCACTTTTCCTCCGATGATTATCCAATCGGGATTCGAAAGTTTTGATTATTGGTGACGTTTCATCGATCAATCAACAATTTTATTTCTCAAGTCCTTTCTACATTTAGCCTAGCTCAAAGGTTTCAGCATGAATATATCTATCGTGATTTTATTTTTTGTCTTGATTGCAATTGATAAAAGAAATTGTGGATAGATAGTCGGAACCTTTCGGGCTATCTTCAGCTTTTTGCTAATAACAATGCTTTCCATAATGTAATCTATTATTACAGGACTCAGGTCATTATAGGCATACTGTAAGAGAGACGTATAAAAAAGAACAGGAGACTGCAAAACTGCAGCAAAGAAATTTATGTTAACTAGCCTCACTTCTCTGTGGACTTCAAAATGGCTCTTGTCAGTGCCAAATGCAAGTCTGCACTAACTATATCATGGTCGATTGGTTGACAGTGTTCTGGCAACAATAAGTGAATGAGGCTGAAGTAGATCTAAGGTTAGATAATAGCTCTAGTAAGGAGAAGTGTCTTTGATGACTTATAAGTTCAGTGAATTAACACAAAAGCTAATGGAAGAGAAGTCTTCATTGTACCTAGATTTTTATCCCTCTGTTACACGTCCCTGAATGTAGACCAAAATTTCTGTCTCTAAAATGATAATTTAATGTCAATATTTTCGTTAATTAGTGTATGCTATTGTTGATATTTACATTTAATCGATTATGCTCAGTTTAGAGACAGGACAGAGGTGTTCATAGAAGTGGTAAAGAGACATCCGCTATAGACGTGGTAAAATAAACAATCACTATATATATATGTACCCAGAAATCTTGGGTTCATTTCAAAGCAAAACAAGTTTATTTGCCTTACCAAGTTTTTCAGACATTAGAGTTTGCTATTTTTAAGCCATTTTGGTGTATTTTTTTCTCTCTACTTTGATTTAAAAATTAAATTGCACTGTCATTACCAGTGACACTAATAACAGCCTGGAACAAGTTTGTACTGTCCAGTGTTACCCAAAACAGCTTGGTACTGGTCAGCCATCATCAATAATGGCTTGATAGTCTATTATGATATAGAAATAGGAGATGATTGTGTATAAGTTTATCAAAGTCTATTTAATTTTGGTTGAATGTCTGTATAACATGTTTCATTTTCTCCTTCCTTTTGATAGAATTTTCTGAAAAGAGTTTATAAAATGGAAATATCTTAAAAAAATTGTTTGTCAACAAACATCTAAATGTTCACATGATTTCTTTTTTCTGGTACAAGAATTTGCTGTTTGCTATATATGTATGCATAAGCATTTCTTCTTAGTAAATCATCAGATGGTTTACAATTAGTTTTACTACCTCAGTAGGCATACATGTTTGTTTACATGGTAACGCAATATGACGTCATCAATAATGGCAACTACTTAGGCCTACTGAGCAAGTAAAACTAATTGTAAAGTATTTGAAGATTTCTATATATGTACCAGACACTGCAAATTTTAACTCTTGTGGTTAGTACCATGTGTATGTAGTATGTGTTTCGTTAAAGTATACTGATACTATATTGTTCTAGATGATTCAAATTATCTTTTCATGTTTTTATATTTATATTGATACATAAATATGTACTAGATACATGAACCTGCATATTTCCACCCCAGGTGATTTACAAATATACAGCAAATACCAAATGTAGCCAGTTGACAGAAGAACAATTGAGTAAGCTTGCTGTCCATCTGCTGAACTGTCAGTCGCAGTCGGAAAACAGACCTATTTTCACCTGCACAGATACTATGGTATTGCAATGATAAAATTATATTGATAGTTTTAAATTAATATACGAAAGTATAATACCCATAAACCAGAAACAAAATGACACTTTTATATGAGGGATCATATGATATATTGGTAAACATTCTGTTAGAATGTAATAGATTTATATAATAATTGTTTTGTTGTTTTGAAATATTTAATTTTCTGATAACCATATCCTTAGGATGAAAGATTTGGCTGTGGGGTTTTTTTTCTCGGAGATGCTTAATTTGAGGTCCTTATCATTACACATAATTTACTATGAATGATTTAGAGTTGAGATTTGTTAAATATTTAAAACAAGTGGAATATCAGAGTGGGTCTCTTTTTAATGAATGTTATTATCATTATTTTTTTTCTTGGTCACAGACTTTAGGGCGGTGTACAGAAAATATGGATGGCTCTACTTGGAATGCTTATCACTTGATGAACAACCGAGCACGTGCAATGTGTTATGCAACCCAACAACAGCACTTTCGAAAAATGACAGAGATGGCGGTTACAAAGCTTGCAGTGGCTGCTAAAAGTCAGTTGCGTGCCATGGATAACTTAGAGGTAAATTTTCATACAAATGGTTAGTATTGTTGTTTTTTTTTCATACATGTATAACAGCATGGTATCTGTGCTTGTTATTCATGAGTGTAATTTTGTATGTTATTAAGTGTTTGTATGTGTAAGTATATAAAACATATTGTAAGGAGTGTCAATGGGTGGGAGTGTTGTTACAAGAACAGAATTTATTACTGTGGTATGGATCTCTTAAATTTGCTTGCTTCAAAATTTCTACTTGAATACAAGGATTCTTCTACCGATGCATCTACCATCTAGTACCACTCACAGGACGTTGGACTCCTCCACCTCTTTTTATTTTCCCACTTTGAATACAAAAAGTACAATGTATTTCAGTTACAAACATTAGATGTCATTTGGTTTTGATTTACCATGAAATAACATGAAATATTGAACACTGTGCTGCTTCAAGTATACAGTATATTGATATTAAATTTTCTGGGAATTAGCTTAAACATTCTTCTCCATTTTGCTTCAGAAAGGACAGGAGACTCTCCACTCCTTAACAACTGACACTGTTCAGAAACTGTACGAGAGCCAACAGGATCTTCTAGGAACTCACAGAGAGCTGCAGCTAGCTCACCAAGATGTCATGGAACACGTCACTTCTAACATTGACAATCTACTGAAAGAAAAATCCCTGATAGCTTCAGGAAACAAAGAACTTGCAGATATGACCGAAAGTATCAAGAATAAATTAGGTATGGCTGATTAGTTGTCTGAATTCTTTATTATAACAAGGCATGACAGGGTGATGGGTTGAAAGTACATGAGCATTATCAAACGAGATAAAATTTCAGAGAGCACTTCTTATCCCATGTCAAATAAGATGTGTTTGCACATCAAACTACATTGTAAATCATATACACAACATCTAGAGTTTATCTTTTTCCTTAGTCAATCTACTGATACGATGTCAATAAATACAGATTTCATAAAAGAAGGAAAGGAGCTCTGTCGATGGTGCTTGAAATAAAGCACTGTCAACAGAGTTTGTCAGGTTGTGTTGTGGTTGCACCTCCTTGTTCAAAAATATAGACTTTGTATTAAGCTCCATCACTATAATACAAGAAATTTACAGAACAGCAACACATATATGGATAGTTAGATATATTTGGATGGGCATTAGCTCATTGCTAGATAGATGTGAAGGTATAACTTCATGTCTAAATTACGTCAGTATATCAGTCTTTATATCATGAGTACCACCCTAGTATACATCTTGTATATTTATTTCTTTTCACTCTCCTGAAATTTACAAAGTTTTCAATATTTAATCTTAATCATCAGTAAGACTGTTTAGTCCCATGGCTATAGAGGTTGATACAGGGATATCTGTGTTGTTCACAAACATACACCAGATCTGAATCTACTTCATGGTATTATCTCATCTAAACTTTCTTTTATTTTACCGATACAGAACTTACAACAAACACACTTAATGAGCAAGAAAGTGACCAGAAGAATAATCACAGACAGATAATGGAAGATTTGAATGGAATCCATGTGAAAGCACAAGAAGCTTTATCTAAGCTTGGTAAGCTGATGTCTTATAGCCATCTGATAGGATTAATACTATTGTTGATTCAGGACATATATTACTTTTTCGGATGGACACATTAATAGCAATGTGTTTAGAAAAAATTCTTCTCCCTTTAATTCACTTTAGCAAGAAATTTTATAGAAAATTTAAGAACATCATGTTGAGTTTGCTGTCTTGTTTCAATGTACAGTGCTGTATTACATATACTATGAATCTTCAATAATGCCCTCTATGGTATGCTTTAAATTCTGCTAACTGATTGGTCAGTTAACTGTCATATTATTATTATTGTTATTTGAAACCCAAAAAAATGACAATGTTTCCCCTTAACACTTGGAAAGGTGATATACAATTTTAACACTTCTTAGCTACATAAGTATGTGAAATTTTATTTTCCTTTAGTTAAAAGAAGAAAATTTTTAATTATAATTTATTATTTATTCAGACAACAGTTCCAAGTATTTCCTCAAGAATCATAAGGAGATGATGAAACACTATCAACTGCTGTATGAGAACATTGTCAAAATCAACGCTACAGTGGGGAATTTGTTGTCTACTGTCAGTGCCATGCAGGACAAGCTGGACAAGAAGATTGGCTGGTTCACACACATTTTAGGAGCAACTGGTATATATCTGAGTTTTTTTTTCTCAAAACAAATTTTCTTTGTATAACACTTAATCACATTTTACCGGTAATCCATCAATGAACGTCTTTGAATCTGTTTTTATAAATTTACACACACCTTGCATATATTGGATTGATTTGTTTTATTTTTGCTTTACATCCTATTAACAGCCAGGGTCATTGAAGGACATGCTAGATTTGGTTTGTGGAGGCAAGCCAGAATTCCCAAAATATCTAACTGTTTCAAAACTTTAATGACGAAAGCTGGTGATAGCACATAAATCAACATAAAACCAAAATAAAATGCAAGCTAAACCTGCTTCCTGTATTTGATGTCTCTTTTTTCAGAGGAAAAGCTATCATTTCTGTTGGTGTTAGGACAACATGTTGGATACTTTGTCATCATGGCACTGGTTGTTGTCTTTCTACAAATTCCAAGGTTTTCCAGACTGGCATTGCTGATGGGTGTCGTTGCCAGTACCATATTAGAACTCCAATTTGAGTATACAGTTGGATTTCAGCAGCTCACAGCATTTTGTCTCGCTATAATTGGTGGTATGTATTCTGTAATAAAATGCCATTACATTTATGGCTAAAAGATGATAATGCACAAGTTTCAATTAACATACCAGAAAAAATAGATGGGTTGGTATGTATGTTTTTTATCTACTGTTTTTGCTATACATTGTATAAAGGAGGAATTTTGTCTGAATTAAACAGTTCTTCCTTTAATATTGTCCAAAAAATGGGTAGATTAAGAAAATTGGTGAAATTAGCAAAAGCCTTATCCACCAGATTTTGAATTGAGGAATCACAAGAAATCTTAATTGTCATTAAGTTACATTGTCCATTAGTTATTACAGAATTAGTTTTTATCATGTCACCATCCTGTTATCAGAGTGATAATACATAAACTTTATGACTCCATATAATAACACCAGTGCCTAATTTTCTTTATTGTTTAAACAGAGATTGCATAGTGAATTTAAATTGACAAATCCTAATTGAGCAAAAGTCACATTCTATATTCATAGTTCCTGCTGTTTAGTGGTGAATATATGATATGTTGATATTGGCTATTCTGAATTTTGACACCAACTGGCAAATTTGTAGGTGACAATATAAAACCCCTTCTGTAGTATTTATCTTCTTATCTGTGTTAGAAAATATTCCTTTTGTTGTTTGTTTGTTTTTTTCTTGTAGGGAATTGTGCTTATCATATTTGGAAGCAGAAAAATATGGCAACATTTTCAAGACCGTTTGCTTTGAAAGACAAAACAGATTTAAGAGGAGACAACTCTCTCAATACAGATTTCACATCCGAAGACTTGAGGGAACTTAACACAACTCTTGGGAGACTTTGTCAATCACGTAAATCTTTATTTTTCATTTTTACTGGTTAAACACCAATATGGACATCAAGATAGATGACTCAGAATCCAAGAGTACAAATGAATAGATTTTTATTTCAATGACTTTTAACATCTACCTTGAATCAAGTCTTAAATTTGCTGATGGTGATATCTTAATTGATTATTTTTTCAGTGAATGACAGTTTACGTGACACGAGTGTACGACATGGTCAGACACCAGAATTCAGACCTCCTGATAGCAACATTCCCACACCTAGGCCAGACTCTTCTACCATGGTAAGACAGCATGACAGAGCTTGGAAAGATTTGTTAATAGTCTTTTAAGTCTTTAAATTGTAATACAAAGCCTTAAATTTTCTACATACATTTCAATAATTTCGCATTACTTATTAGATTTAGCCTGTTACCTGTAACTATACCCATGACCTAGTTGTTGCCTCAAAATGTTTTGGTTAGACAAGTCTGAAACTAAAGATTTTAACACAATGTATTATGGTTTGTACTAAATTTTTGTCTGGGGATTTCCTCCCATATCTCTCAACTGACTTTTTTCAAACTAGGCGGGCTAAGTCACAATGACATGAAAATGTGTTTTCATGACTTACATTTAGAATTGTTTTTTCATAATTCTAATATTGTCAGAACTCAAATGTGGTAGGCTTATTCACCATGGCATAAAGTTATCTATTTGTTAACAGCAGTTTGATTCAACTGTATAATTGAGTTACTTGTTGTTCTCATAATGTTAATCTTGTCAAGAGATCTCCTCTTTTAGGTTTCAACTGATTTCTGTTAAATGTTATTTGGTAGGCTTAATTGCCATGACAATGAGGTGGTTTTTTTTGCTGAATGGCTGTTAAGTTTGACTGTATAAGGGAGAGCTACATCCCCTCATTGTTTTTTTTTAATGTAAATCTTTGTTGTTGTTTTCATGTAGTTAGGCTTAGTCACAATGGCATGAAGTTATCTTTTCCTGAACAGTGGTTTGATTCAATTGTGTTTTGAAGAGTTACTGATCCTTGTTGTTCTCATGATGTTAGTCTTGTCTAGAAATCTCCTCTCTTAGCTTTCAACTGATTTCTTTTCAACTTGGTAGGCTTAACATCCATTATAATGAAGTTGTGTTTTGTTGAATGGAAATTTGGTTTGACTGTGTAGAGAAGGGTTTCTGCCTCTTCTTGTTTCTGTAATGTAAATCTTGTCTGGAGATGTCTTCTCGCAGTTTTCAATCAGTTTCTTTCTAAGTTTGTTGGTTTTACAGCTATGACACAAACTTGTGTTTGCCTACAAATCAATTAGATTCAACAAATTTTTAAGGAGTAATCGCCCTTTAGTTATTCACCAATTTCTCTGAAATTGGGTACAGTTTATAACCATTACAGAACATTGCTCTTTCTTTCATAGCATTGTGATTTTACAATTTTGGTAAGAGTAATTGCCCTTGTTTTTGTCCAGATATCTCCCTCAGCTTTAAATCAATTTCTTTTCTGAAATTGTTTTCTCTTTTGATGTTTTGACTCATTATCATTTTCATAGTTATTTTAGATACAATTAATCCTGAATACTTCTTTAGCATAGATAGGGCATGTTGTTCTGTCTGTGGTACTCTTGTTATTGAATAATGCTCATAGTGAAATTCCTGTAAAATTATGCGATTTCTGTATACAGCCTGATGACTTAGAAAATGTTCGGCGTTACATCAACGAGTTAGATGACAGGTTATCTACTTCGTCACGTCATTCTGCTACTCCAATACCTTCCACATCCTACAGACACACATCCAGGTAAGTATAGATGTATAGATTGGTGTAAATACCAGCACACAAAAGAAACATTTCCAAGAAAAAACAGAGGAACAATAATGACTCACTTTTAAGGTCAAAAGGTTAATATATATCAGAGGTCAAAATTTGTTGACATAATGTTTGTTATATATGGGATATAAATCGTTGATAATGTCTAAATTTTAACAGCTACATACTTTGTAAAAAAGGTACCTAGTACATGTTTATATATAATCATTTCATGCTTAACAATACTGGTGTTTAATTTACACAGATCATCCACTCCCTTGAGTACCACCAGTTCTCGGTGTCTGGGTACAACCAGATCAGGCACACCATGTCGTCTCCAGTCACCGCCAGGTCATGATTTCTGCCACAGACATCGCCAGGGACAAGGCAGCTAACCAAATTTCTTGTCTTTACTTAGAAAATCCTCTTTTATTAACATTGTGCATTCCATTTTGTCAGTTTCTTTAACCAATTTACAAAAATTTTAGAGGTGTGTTCCATGTTGATCGATCATCAATCTTGATTTCATTAGAAATAGACAGAACATCAGATAAAAAGTGCAATAACACATTAAATGGTCATGAAGTTCCTTTAGATCTTTGAAAGAAAAAAAATCATGTGTGTGCTGTTTAAACAGGATAATGATTTTTCATTAACTTTTTTTGACATTTTTCATCAAGCGACTTCAAAATCAGAGATATTGCATTTGCATTTATTCATTTTCCTGTTTTTCCAGTTGTATTATTGGATGTTCATTGAATAGATGATAATCATTGATATTATCCATTTTTTTAATTGATTCTTCAATCTGGACTACTACATATTTGATGGGGTTTCTTTATCAACCTTTGTCAAAGTTTTCAATATACCAGAGATAAGAGGATGCTTTCATGTTAATCTGGTATGTATGCAATATTTGTAGTATTTTGAATCCTAACCATTTCCAGAAGGTTTAACTCCATTTTTGAAATGTTTCTTATTGTAATGTATTTAAATGTTTGTTTTCCACATTTTATAACTTCACACCAGGTTCATGTTTCAGTATTATCATTGAGATGGAATAGTTGATGTAACAGTCTTATGAAAAAGATTGTAATAATATGCATGAATAGTGAAATGAGTAGTGAACTAACAACTTTTTAAGACCAATGAGATCTGCATTTGAAAACCTGTTCTTTTGACAGGTAAAAATGGTTTTTAATCATGCTAATGCTTAAGTGTGTTGACCTTTGTTCTGTTCAAAGGTATAGTTTTACAGACTACAACTTTCTTTTCTGTTAAGGAAGTGTTGCATTGTTTGTCTTTTTTTCTGAGATGTGATCTTGTAAAAATTTCAAAACTTTGCAGTGTTTTATTGCTGGGTTGAATTTCTGTGTTGTTCTGTTATATATATATATATAGATATTTTAAGTTTTGTTTTAATTCTCTCATTTTTTTTTCTTCCATAAGAATTGTAGCAGATTTACCTTAATATATTTTGAAAGCATTATTGTCATTGTTGATTAAAGATATGGAAATCAATATTTCTAAGTATGTATTATAAATCATCACAAAATATATTTTGTAAAAATGAGTTTTGTATTACATCAATCATCAATAACCAGTTTACTTTTGTACAACCCAATCTGAGAATGACACACTTATTTAAGTTCTTACTGAAAAGTGACATTGTAGCTTACTTCTATGAAATTCAATTCCAGTCCTTCCCAACAAGACTTAATGAAAACTAGATTTGAAGGGAATTAAATAGACCATGTAATCAGTATCATTGTTTAGTTATAAAAACTATGTGTACCTAGATTATAGTCACATTAATTCAATTCCTCTCACATCAGAGAAAATCCTTAAACTATTTTTTAATTTACTACTCCTGCTCAAAAGCAATAGTCAAGATGTTAGGTGATTCAAGTCTTTCTCCTACTTAAAGTAATCATATCAGGTTGACTTAATGGAATCAGGCAAGTCAACTCTGTACCACTACCAAACACATAGTGTATAACTACCTAACTTGTAGTTGGGCCATCAGATGTTGACTATTATACCTTTCCCCCTACCCCCACCCTCCTGCCATAAAAGCATAAGCATGATGTGGCCTGGTTTTACCATAATAGATTAACCTGTTGGCATATTCTGGTATGGCATTAATGTTAACCTGCTTTGTGACAGAGGTCACTTAATGGTTTTTATAAAAGCTATATATGTGTGTCATTCTGAGATGGTGAAGTACTATAGTAAATAACAGATTCTGTCCTCAGTTCCAACCGTCTTGCCTGCTTATGCAGATTGCTTTTATGTTGTTGAATTTTTTATTCTTTTAATAGAAGATTAATTTCCACAGTACTGTCACTCTGTCAGAGTTGTTGTTCCTTACACCCCACTATCGGAGAGATTTCAGTGATATGTCAATTTTATCAAAATATCAAGCAATATTGGTTTTTTGGGGGTTTTTTTATTGCTTTTTTCTTTTTGAAGGACCATTTGAATTTTTTAATGTTTAAAAGCATTTCAGTTTGCATTTAAATATTTTGCTTTCAAAACAAAATGTGTGTGAATATCTTGACCTTTGTCATTTTTTTTATTTGAGTGAAAGTGTGGTTATAGACAGTGTTACATACAAAAAATTGGACAACATTTTGTTCCACAGCAGAACAAAGGTTATATTATAATGTACAGTGACCAGTGCTACTCTAATATTGAAAGTACAATGTACATGGTTAGATCTTCACTATAAAACAGGGATCAAGGCATAAATCCAAATGTTTTCAATTTAAAGTAAATTAATATTAAAACAGAAATTTATTTGTTAAATATATTTATGTATATCTGTAAAAGTGTACATTTTGTGTATACCTGATACAAAATAGTTGTATAGGTACATTTAAATTGCAAAACCATCATGAATTTAAAATAAGGAATATTTGTTCTCTTAAGGTAAACAAATTCTTACTCTACTATGCAGTTTACATGGAAATTTATTAAGGTACAAAGACAATGTTTTAGCATGGATCTTATTGTCAGTATAAGGATTTATAGAATAGAATGAATCAAGACAAGGTTTCAAACTATTTGGACTAAACAGTTTGGATCTGTGAAGTGTTAATCAATATAAGTTTGTATGGAGAGACTTACAACAAAGGTGCTATACAGGTGATCCATATTCCTACAGTATTTATATTGTGTTATTTTCCTCAGGAGTGAATTACTTGTATGAATAAAGCTGATTGAATCAGAAAACAAAAGAACTTTTCAGTTTTCTTAAACATATATATCACAAGAGTTCCTCCGAACTGTATGTCTTGCCTGCATAAAGTGTCACGGTCACCAAGAAATTGAACTGGATGTGCAACGATCAACCATAAAGTTGTAATACAAAATTTCATTTCTATAACTTGAAGCATAAAGGGAAAACTGCACAAAGAAATATTTCTGAGAAATTCTCCAAGTTCAAAGGGACATAACTCAGCCAAGAAGGGTCACAGACAGCCAGGAATCAAACTTAATTTGTACCCTTGCAACAAGAAGCCATATACCAAATTTCATTTTGATAACTCAAAGCATAAGCCAAAAAAGACTGGAAAACAAATATTCCTTTTCTAAGTTGAAAGGGACAAACAAAAATGAACCCTTGCCATATACTAAATTTCATATTTATAGCTCAAAGCATTACCAAAAAAAGTCTGGAAAACTTTTGTACTGACGACGACGTGTGATGACAGACTAAGTGATTCCTAAGTGTCCGCCAGCTCTGCAGGCGACACAAAACTGTTTTTGGACTTCAAAGATGTGAGGTCACCATTAGTTTTCTGTCTGTGATTCTTGTTGACAGCATCATATTCATCTTTCTTGTTATATTACTTATTAATGCCTAAGTATGTTTTCTCTAACACACAGATACAGGTGTTAGAAGAGTGAGTCAACCTCACCACAGCTTTGAGTTGTGCTTGTCTAAATTGAGATTGATTTAAAAACAAGTGCTGGAGGCACAGTTTGATGTGGCTTCCTGTTAGTCCTATGAATAAGAAGGCTGAATAGAAAATTTGTAATAAGCTTTCAGGGCAAACACATACATAGAGGTAAGATAAAGTAGCCTATGTTATTGTTTTTACTGAACAGCAACAGATATGGGCAGGGTTACTACCAGGCATGTCTGGCTTATTTCCAAATAAACACCTCAGATTATTTTCCTCATGCCCTCTGACCTTCTTAGGTATGTTATTCTTGTCCCAATGCTTTGCACAGCTGATGTGACATCATGGATATGTAAGTGGATTCTCCCTGTCACATCCCAAGGTTGAGTCTAAGAAATCTCACACCAGTAAAAGTCATGGATATACCTGTCTCAGTCTAAGGGAGTACAACTCCTTTCATGAAAATCAGATCACAACATTATGTTGGCTGCTGGTAATGAGAAGTGCAATGGATGATCAGACAAGACACACCTGTTTAAACTGGTAACATCAATATTGTCATGGTCAGTGTGACTCTTGTTGTCCTTTTGACTTTCATTTGGGATATAGAAATACCATGTAGCTGAAGAACTACCATATTTATCTTACAACAATCCCATGGAATCAAAATATCATGCTGGGCTCAAAATCAGGGCAAGTCCTTCTCATTACAGGAAATAGTTCTTGTAGGGAATGCTTCTAAACATCATTTTATATGGGTGGTCTTATTACAGGATATAGGCTTATTGCTGGATATGAATTTGGTAAAGATCTACATTGTCTCTTTTCATTTTACCACTATCGATCAGTTATATCACTCTAAGCATTTTATATGGTATATCTATTAATTGCAGTAAATTAATTTATTCGGTATCGTTCTCAAATTCAATAGGATTCCACGTTTGCCTGACTTGCAGCACAAGTGTGTTATTTATAGTTTGATGGTTTGGATTTTGCAACTCCTCAGGTATTGCCATGCTGGACTGTGCTCGTTTGTTTGAGTGGGATTTTAGCTCACCTACATGAAGTGTAATTGCACTTATGCTGACGTGCAGCAGCTCAATAACTAGTGACTGGCAGTCAAGTTTGTTCAAAAGGGTCAAATGTGATGGAATCTTTAAATCATACTATATGAATAACAAAGAGCCCTTGGTCATATTTGGTCAGTTTACACTTGGATGATAAGACTTTCAAGTTTGCTGAAGACTCAATGACCTTGACCACCATTTAAAGCTGAAGAGGTCCTAAAATCTTGATTGACCTCTGAATAACAAAACAGTCCAAGGTCATGATAGCAAGCCTGTAGCATAATTGAGCTTTAGTCCAGATGAGCAGTTCAGGTCCAGTTTGCTTTTATTGTGGGTACCCCATATGAATGCCTTATCCTTGTGATAGAGGTGGTGCATTCGATCACTGTAACTTAACCGATTGATTTATCATCTATGTACCTGTATAAAAAATAAGGAAAAAAGATGTGTTGAGTCGTGTATTTCTGAACAGCTGGTGTTTTTTTTAAAACTTAAGGCATTGTTGCTGATCTATATAAGAAAGCACATAATGAAACAACAGACATGTTAAACTGTTTAGTATTTCTCTAGTTCTGTTTTTATTTTTCACATTACCACATTCTAATTAATTGACTTGGTGACACCTCAACAATGAAACAATTCACTGGAAAATGTTTGGAAAATAAGTTATTTTCTAAAAACCTAAATTTTATACAAATGTGAATGGTGGGTTGTAAATAACTCCCTAATTATTAAGAAATATCATACACATGTTTAACTTTCTAGATTTCATACCCAACTCAGATTATTTCTCTTGTTTATTTTCTCTTGCCACAGTCAGTAATTGTATTTGTCAAATTTTAGTAGTAATCTAGTTTTGTTCCATGTTGTGATTAATTTGAGTTTGGTTGGAGAATCATAAATTGCTGCTTGGCAGACATCTTCACTTCTACTATTTAAATTTTGTTGGCGCTGCAGTATTTTTTTCCCTTTTTTCGCTGAACTTTTTAACATGAAGCAAAGCAAGAATTTTATCTGGACATTGTCCACTACAGAACAGTAAGGTGAAGACACTTTTAAGGCATTATCTTAAGTAAGATTCCAAGCACAGGCAGATAAATTAAGTAGTCCCAGTACGGACAAATATTTATTTTGGTTTTGCAATATATTTTCATATTGTTTTTGTGCTGTTTGTCTGTCAACTTTAACCTTGCCCATAACTACTGCACTTTCATATTTACAAAGTGTGTTTCTTTTCAGAAAGACCTTTCCGGTGGGACAAAAATTTTAGAACATTTGACTGTGACCTCTGACCTACATTTGAAAAATTTTAACATTGGCCATAACTATTGCACCATATGAGGTATGGCTTTCATATTTGGTATGTGTTCCTTGTGACAAGACCTTTCTGGTGGTACTAAACTTTTTAACCATGTGACCTTGACCATGACATTTGACCTACATTTGAAAGTAAACAAAAATCATTACCACAATGTAGACTCAAGTGTTGTGATTATCATATGCCTTACACAATAGTAATAATGTCCAACTTCAGAATTTTGTTGCAACTAAGGGCATTATGATTCATAAACACATCTTGTTTCCTATACAAAAATGGTCAAATTTCCATTGCTTTTCTTTATCAGAAAAAATGTATGGGTGAGGTCCCAAACAAAATCAAGAACACATACAAGAACAAAACAAGTTTGATTGTTTTCCATACATTTCATTCAACAATTTAATCATAATGACAAATATTTCTTTATAATAACAAACAAAACCATTATCACATGAAGTTGACACTTCAGTGACGATACAAAATGTCTGATAAAAAGCAAAGATCACAATTAAGTATTAGCTGTAATTAATCAAACAAAGAATTGCCATATTTTCTTATACAAACACTGTATTCCTAAAACAATTAAAATTTTTCAGTGAAGCATTTTTTTCATTCTACCAAAAATGAATAGTACTTTGTTGGTGAAATGATATTTCAATATTTATGTAGAGATATGGAAATCAGATACCTGGTAAGCTGTAACCATCACCTCTGTGCTTTAATCAGATAAATCAGCCTTATTTATATTAACTTTACTGCTGTTCAGAAAACCAAGTGGATATACCAATATATGATTTCATTTTCACTGTGCATTCTCTCTATGATAGATAATGCCAGCAATACTTGTACAAGAAACATGATATTAACCAAAAAGTGATATTAACCAAAATGTGATATTAACCAAAATGTGATATTAACTAATGTGACATTAAGAGGCTTTTTCACTACTCTGGAATTCTAAATAATTCTGAATAATTATAAATTGATATTTGCTCAGCCATGATCAACAAGCCATGTTTTCCTTTGTTTTTTTTTTTAAACATTATCATTACATATGTCATAGATTTAAATGTTATTTCATATCTGGATATAGTCATACAAACAGCAAATGTCTTAACAAATAATTATAAATATAAGTACTTATGATATACAATACTGAAATACAGACCAGTACTGTCCAACAAAAGAAGGGATTAAAAATATGTTATACCAAATATGGAGTCTCAAGAAATGGAATCAAATCAACAAAAAAGATTTTATGTATAGATTTATGTACAGATGTAAAATAACCCCAAAAATTAACCTTTTGTACAATCATAAACTTTCGTGGGAAATTATTTTTGTTTAATTTATGGATACTCTAAATCCACAAATATATATGCCCATAAAATAATAAACTAATTTTTATAGTTGACATTGGTTATAGCACAAGTGGATTTTGTGAACAAGATTTAACAATGAAATCAAGTGCCAACGAAAATGGATTTTTTTTTTTTTTTTTTGGAAAACCACGAAAGTGGAGCCTCACGATTATATGATTTTACAGTGTAACCAGACGGATTCAAAAACAAAAGCAAAAAATGTGATTTTGGATAGTGACGAGTTTTTATCACTGGTAATCATCCAGCATTTCAACAATATCTCATGTTTGATTTTGATGTTTAACAAGTAATGACATTCAATTAAAGAGAATTAAAAATTCCTCGTTAACAAGGTAAATTAATAAATAACAGAAAAAATTAATTGTACTTCTATCATACCACAAAATCTCAAACTCAATCCAAAGTTGTAATTCAGATAATAAACAAGTAAGAAAGATTTTTCTCCACCAGTGCATCATTTACATAATTATGCTATTGAACAACAAAGAGTTGAAAATGGAGAGCAACTCACTACCAACCTTGATAATGGTGGCAGTAATAAGATATAGATATATCAGGGCTTATCCAATCTATGTAAAAAAGTATTCCTAACTACTGTAACTATGCTTTTTCCAAAGTTCAATTTTTTACAATTTCACGAAAAGCCAAACAGACCTATTTTTCACTGAAGTAGGGAAACAGTCAAAGGTTTCATTCCATTTTTTAAATTTAATTAAGCTTTTGTGATTTTATTCAATCCACAAAAATAGCATGATTACAAACCCTTCAAAAATTACAACCTTGACTTTTGACCTGTAACTTTTGACCTGGGATTAGAGCGAACATTTTAGTTTAAACAATATAGCTGGTAACTTTCAGAGGTCAAAATTTTTGAAATTTGATAGTAAAATGTTGAATTATATTTTAACAAATGAGAATTTTGCAATCTTGATGTAAAAGAACATCTAATACACAGTTTTCATTATTTCACAGAAAAAGTTTTTGCATTCATGTTAATGTTAGCAAAGTAGCAAAAATTATCATCCCCACTAAAATAGCCAGCTGTTGGGTACCAGATTTACTACATAAATCTAAACCAAACCCGACATGGTAGTCTAATTCAGGACTTCAGTAACCAGACCCAGGCTGTCCTCAGACTTGATAGTTGTGTATGTAACCACTTGCAATGACAAATGCCATGCAAATCCTTGGTATGTCCTTCTTATGATCAGAAATCATCAAGCAACATTTTTCACAAGACCATATGTATTCATATCTAATGAATAGTTACATTACAGATACATTATGTTATTATTATATCATATTATGTAGATTTGTTGAGTGATCTCCCTTTGATATTGTATAATCATGTACCCACACAAAGGGGTAAATCTGCACTAATACCACTCTGGAAATACAAAGGCTCTAGCTATGCATCACTGGAAACTACTAAAAACACAGACTCTTCATCCTTTAAGATATATGTAAATTTCCAGACTTTCAGCAGACCGTGTGATGGTCTGTTGTTAGTTTTAAACACTGCAACCTGTTGTCATAATGCTGTTGATGAAGTAGGAGTAAAAATTACAGAGCTTGGATACAAAGAATAGTGGATATTGAAAGGCTTCTTGAGCATTTTAAACACACTGAGAGCAACTGCTTAAAACACTTATAGAAACAAAATTCACCCCTGAGCTCCTATTAAGAAAATTTTGAAAGATATCAGTAATTGAGAGAAACTTGTTTGCGAAAGTGTTATTGTGAGAATATCAGTCTTTTTTTCAGTAAACATAGAGAGTATCCTTAGGACAGAGACCTACACAAGGTATGCATGCTTCCGGCTACAACTAAGTAAGTCCTGAAGCAAACATATTCATTGTAGCTCCGCCCCATCCCCCCCCCTGTAATTACAGTACCAAATGTGAAGCAGATAGTTAATAACAGAAATGTTAATATCATTCAACAACACTACGCAGCACATATTTCACAGTGTAAGCAAAGGCTGCAAGTCCAATTATCACAAATATGTTGGCCACTGCACTTCCCATAATGCCTTGGTTGTTTTGGTTGGGGTCGTTGTTGTTCCCATTTGAGGACCTAGATCTATTGTTTACAAGTCGTGAGTTCGTAGATTCCTTCAGCTCTTCTTCTCGCTTCCTATGTTCCTCTTTTATACCCTGAAACACAGTAAGAAAATGAGACAACCTATATATGTTTTGTTCACTCTGCACCACAAGATGTTGTCATCATGTATAATGTTTCCAGTTTGTTCTGTCAGGTATGAAGTTGCCACTGTACATGTCCTGTTACCATTATAAATTTTGAAGTGCACATCATCTGTAGCAACCAGTCTATTCTATAAAACTTCTGAAGTAAACATTGTTTGAATCAATTAAAATATGCTAATTTTTCACCCCCGTGACAACCTTTTAAAAAGTAAGACTTTTTTATCATATCAAACTGTACGTGTATTACATACATATCAATATATGTCTGTAAGACATGAATGCCCGAACTCTCATGCATATTAGATATGACTGTATGATGAAGTTGTCAAATTTAACCTCTGAACATTCAAATGATGAACACCTTAATAAGGTGTAGAACTTGATGTTAGGATACCATAGGGTAAATATGAACCAAATCTCAAGATAAGACCACAATTTGGAACAGTAGGTGATAGGACAAACAGACATGGGTAACACTATATCTCACCTACCCAATCCCAACCTCCCTCCATAAAACTGACAGGAAACCGAAGAGAAATAAAACAACCTATACTGACCTCAGCAACATCAGGAAACAGTTCAGTAAATATTTTGTCGTTGAGGTTAAACCGCCCACTAGCTGCTGCTAATTGTCTCTTCTGCAGAGGAAAGAGAAATATCATTTTTTACAAGTAAAATTCAAAAATCTTAAAAGAGTTGTTAGAGAAGAGGAAAGCTTGCGTACTGATGCCAAAATTCATGTGAATACATTAAGCAATATATTAACCTTTTGACATATCAAAATCTGATAAAACATCAACTTATACGCTGACAAAGGGAAAGTTCAACGTGTTTCTGCACTTGATAAGTGTGATTTCATTGCAAATAAGATGGCTTCATTATGAAGCTCTGTCTTTGCACAGAAAGACTTAAAATCATTAAATTCCAATAAGCATGTTGACATTGATAAAATCTTCAAATCAATTTAACATTAATGGTGACTTACGGTAGCATCTGATGTTTCAATACTGCCTAAGGTGGGACTCTTTTCTAACTGGAAAAGAAAATTTAGCACAAATATGACTTAAAAAATCAACGCATAGAAAAAAATATAAGCATGAAAGAAGTATACAATAAAACCTGCCTTTAAGATATGAATAGGTATGTACCTAATAAATACCTCTCAATAAAAGTCACCAATAACAATTACCTGTGTATAAAGACCATCTCTTATCTGTATATTGAAAATAAGTATTATATATATATAAATATTAAGATGTCTATAAAGACAATCTTTATACAATGAATACCTGTCCATAAAGGTTGTCGCTATAAAACAGATACCTCTCTATAAAGGTCACTGGTTTCGTGTTCCAATTCAATAACAATCATAGTAACTGCACCTTTACATAAGACCATCTGTCTATAAAGGCTACTTTTCTTGGCTTTAAAGCCAAGGTTGGCCTGTAAACCAACCAAACCAACAGAGATGTTGTCCTGATTTTCCTAATTCACTGGTATACAACGACATCATGCTGCATGATGAACATTATATTGGTTAAGTTGAGACATGAAAGTGCAAACCACATGCACTAAAACCTGGTGCATGAAAAACGCATGTTTTAGCACAAAAAAATGACAGAATTTTTACAACCTGATCCAAAACTGAGGTTACACATCTTCAGAGACAGAAAAATACACTGAATTGGCGAAAGCAGTGTTTACTTTTGGCAGTTATTGAAATTTTAAATCCTTTGAATCAAACTCCCTACATTACGTTTGTTTGTAGCCTGACTTACCATGAAGCTGAGTAGACCCGTCAGTATAGTAGACACAGACCAAGCTGGATTCCAAGTGTCTGGGTGGAAATCACTAATGGACAAGCACAACCTGTCAATCCAAAAATCAAACTGAATAATTCTATAATACATACCAACAGCAGGCAAATGATAAGGAACTCCAGATCACATAGATAGAAGCATCATCATCATCATGTTTTCAGGTCACATGTGCCATATTTATTCTAATAAACATCTCCCCCACCCCCAAAGAACAAAACCAGTTTTTCTATGTATGACTTACCACTTTGTAAAATAAATCTCCATGTCAAGTAATTGATAAATGAACACTATTTCTAATTACAAAAGTACTAACAAGAATCAGGGTCCAGGACTGTCCTATTAGCTCCATCTTACTGAATAATTCCATGCTCTAGGGTCACTTATTAGAATAAATATGGTAGAAGATGCCTAAAGTTTTCTTACATCATCAAGCTTGGGTTCAGATAATTGGAATTTCCTGTCACAATAATTGTACACTTTGTCAAAGTCTATACCATCAACATTGCAGAGGATGACAACAACGTAAGACAATGCATCATTTACCTGTGAATTGATATAGGAATACTAGATGGGATGACCTTCACCGAAGCCTTGTATTTTTCAATACAGAAATCTGCTCCCCATCTCATCTCCATGGGTAACAAATACTATTGTATGTATCCTAAAATAAGCTCTTTAAAAAATATTTCAGTGTGGGGAGAGCTTATTTGTGAACTGCTCTTAGCTTACTATTTCAACATTGACTGTAACAATGATGGGGACTTAATTGTAGGCTGGGGTTTATTGGCCGATAAATACTGTAATGTATATTCAGTTTAAATTGGTTTATATGATGTCTTTGTGTTGATATTGATATTTCCTGATATAGAAGTTTGTTATGTGAGATACATGTAATATTTAGCGTGGTTTTTGCCTTTGTATTTCACACTCAAATCTTATTACTGAGAGCTAAATTTTTCAACATGTGATTCATTAGACATCCTTTAAGTACATTATTTCATGATGAAGATAAGGTAACCTGATAATAAAATGTGGTGAGCTCTCAGGTAAGTGGGAAACAAAAAGAGCGGGGTATCTCTACTGTCATGTTAGTAGGGTAACAGAGATTCTGTGGGGTACCTCTACTGTCATGTTAGTAGGGTAACAGTGATTCTGTGGTGTACCTCTACTGTCATGTTAGTAGGGTAACAGTGACTCTGTAGGGTACCTCTACTGTCATTTTAGTAGGGTAACAGAGATTCTGTGGGGTACCTCTACTGTCATGTTAGTAGGGTAACAGTGACTCTGTGGGGTACCTCTAACGTCATGTTAGTAGGGTAACAGTGATTCTGTGGGGTACCTCTACTGTCATTTTAGTAGGGTAACAGAGATTCTGTGGGGTACCTCTAATGTCATGTTAGTAGGGTAACAGTGACTCTGTGGGGTACCTCTAACGTCATGTTAGTAGGGTAACAGTGATTCTGTTGGGTACCTCTACTGTCACGTAAGTAGGGTAACAGTGACTCTGTGGGGTACCTCTACTGTCAGCCATGTTAGTAGGGTAACAGTGACTCTGTGGGGTACCTCTACTGTCATTTTAGTAGGATAACAGTGACTCTGTGGGGTACCTCTACTGTCACGTAAGTAGGGTAACAGTGACTCTGTGGGGTACCTCTACTGTCAGTCATGTTAGTAGGGTAACAGTGTAAGTAGGGTAACAGTGACTCTGTGGGGTACCTCTACTGTCAGTCATGTTAGTAGGGTAACAGTGACTCTGTGGGGTACCTCTAAGGTCATGTTAGTAGGGTAACAGTGATTCTGTAGGGTATATGTCCTGTCAGGTTAGTGGGGTAACAGTGATTCTGTAGGGTATCTGTCCTGTCAGGTTAGTGGGGTAACAGTGATTCTGTAGGGTATCTGTCCTGTCAGGTTAGTGGGGTAACAGTGATTCTGTAAGGTTTCTGTCCTGTCAGGTTAGTGGGGTAACAGTGATTCTGTAGGGTATCTGTCCTGTCAGGTTAGTGGGGTAACAGTGATTCTGTAGGGTATCTGTCCTGTCAGTTTAGTGGGGTAACAGTGATTCTGTAGTGTATCTGTCCTGTCAGGTTAGTGGGGTAACAGTGATTCTGTAGGGTATCTGTCCTGTCAGGTTAGTGGGGTAACAGTGATTTAGTGGGGTAACAGTGATAGGTATCTGTCCTGTCAGGTTAGTGGGGTAACAGTGATTCTGTAGGGTATCGGTCCTGTCAGGTTAGTGGGGTAACAGTGATTCTGTAGGGTATCTGTCCTGTCAAATTAGTGGGGTAACAGTGATTCTGTAGGGTATCTGTCCTGTCAGTTTAGTGGGGTAGTGGGGTAACAGTGATTCTGTAGGGTATCTGTCCTGTCAGGTTAGTGGGGTAACAGTGATTCTGTAGGGTATCTGTCCTGTCAGGTTAGTGGGGTAACAGTGATTCTGTAGGGTATCTGTCCTGTCAGGTTAGTGGGGTAACAGTGATTCTGTAGGGTATCTGTCCTGTCAGGTTAGTGGGGTAACAGTGATTCTGTAGGGTATCTGTCCTGTCAGGTTAGTGGGGTAACAGTGATTCTGTAGGTTATCTGTCCTGTCAGGTTAGTGGGTTAACAGTGATTCTGTAGGGTATCTGTCCTGTCAGGTTAGTGGGGTAACAGTGATTCTGTAGTGTAGTGTATCTGTCCTGTCAGGTTAGTGGGGTAACAGTGATTCTGTAGGGTATCTGTCCTGTCAGGTTAGTGGGGTAACAGTGATTCTGTAGGGTATCTGTCCTGTCAGGTTAGTGGGGTAACAGTGATTCTGTAGGGTATCTGTCCTGTCAGGTTAGTGGGGTAACAGTGATTCTGTAGGGTATCTGTCCTGTCAGGTTAGTGGGGTAACAGTGATTCTGTAGGGTATCTGTCCTGTCAGGTTAGTGGGGTAACAGTGATTCTGTAGGGTGTGTCCTGTCAGGTTAGTGGGGTAACAGTGATTCTGTAGGGTATCTGTCCTGTCAGGTTAGTGGGGTAACAGTGATTCTGTAGGGTATCTGTCCTGTCAGGTTAGTGGGGTAACAGTGATTCTGTAGGGTATCTGTCCTGTCAGGTTAGTGGGGTAACAGTGATTCTGTAGGGTATCTGTCCTGTCAGGTTAGTGGGGTAACAGTGATTCTGTAGGGTATCTGTCCTGTCAGGTTAGTGGGGTAACAGTGATTCTGTAGGGTATCTGTCCTGTCAGGTTAGTGGGGTAACAGTGATTCTGTAGGGTATCTGTCCTGTCAGGTTAGTGGGGTAACAGTGATTCTGTAGGGTATCTGTCCTGTCAGGTTAGTGGGGTAACAGTGATTCTGTAAGGTTTCTGTCCTGTCAGGTTAGTGGGGTAACAGTGATTCTGTAGGGTATCTGTCCTGTCAGGTTAGTGGGGTAACAGTGTAGGGTATCTGTCCTGTCAGGTTAGTGGGGTAACAGTGATTCTGTAGGGTATCTGTCCTGTCAGGTTAGTGGGGTAACAGTGATTCTGTAGGGTATCTGTCCTGTCAGGTTAGTGGGGTAACAGTGATTCTGTAGGGTATCTGTCCTGTCAGGTTAGTCTGTCAGGTTAGTGGGGTAACAGTGATTCTGTAGGGTATCTGTCCTGTCAGGTTAGTGGGGTAACAGTGATTCTGTAGGGTATCTGTCCTGTCAGGTTAGTGGGGTAACAGTGATTCTGTAGGGTATCTGTCCTGTCAGGTTAGTGGGGTAACAGTGATTCTGTAGGGTATCTGTCCTGTCAGGTTAGTGGGGTAACAGTGATTCTGTAGGGTATCTGTCCTGTCAGGTTAGTGGGGTAACAGTGATTCTGTAGGGTATCTGTCCTGTCAGGTTAGTGGGGTAACAGTGATTCTGTAGGGTATCTGTCCTGTCAGGTTAGTGGGGTAACAGTGATTCTGTAGGGTATCTGTCCTGTCAGGTTAGTGGGGTAACAGTGATTCTGTAGGGTATCTGTCCTGTCAGGTTAGTGGGGTAACAGTGATTCTGTAGGGTATCTGTCCTGTCAGGTTAGTGGGGTAACAGTGATTCTGTAAGGTTTCTGTCCTGTCAGTTTAGTGGGGTAACAGTGATCATGTGAGATATCTGTCCTGTCCTGTCAGGTTAGTGGGGTAACAGTGATTCTGTAGGGTATCTGTCCTGTCAGGTTAGTGGGGTAACAGTGATTCTGTAGGGTATCTGTCCTGTCAGGTTAGTGGGGTAACAGTGATTCTGTAGGGTATCTGTCCTGTCAGGTTAGTGGGGTAACAGTGATTCTGTAGGGTATCTGTCCTGTCAGGTTAGTGGGGTAACAGTGATTCTGTAGGGTATCTGTCCTGTCAGGTTAGTGGGGTAACAGTGATTCTGTAGGGTATCTGTCCTGTCAGGTTAGTGGGGTAACAGTGATTCTGTAGGGTATCTGTCCTGTCAGGTTAGTGGGGTAACAGTGATTCTGTAGGGTATCTGTCCTGTCAGGTTAGTGGGGTAACAGTGATTCTGTAGGGTATCTGTCCTGTCAGGGTTCTGTCCTGTCAGGTTAGTGGGGTAACAGTGATTCTGTAGGGTATCTGTCCTGTCAGGTTAGTGGGGTAACAGTGATTCTGTAGGGTATCTGTCCTGTCAGGTTAGTGGGGTAACAGTGATTCTGTAGGGTATCTGTCCTGTCAGGTTAGTGGGGTAACAGTGATTCTGTAGGGTATCTGTCCTGTCAGGTTAGTGGGGTAACAGTGATTCTGTAGGGTATCTGTCCTGTCAGTTTAGTGGGGTAACAGTGATTCTGTAGGGTATCTGTCCTGTCAGGTTAGTGGGGTAACAGTGATTCTGTAGGGTATCTGTCCTGTCAGGTTAGTGGGGTAACAGTGATTCTGTAGGGTATCTGTCCTGTCAGGTTAGTGGGGTAACAGTGATTCTGTAGGGTATCTGTCCTGTCAGGTTAGTGGGGTAACAGTGATTCTGTAGGGTATCTGTCCTGTCAGGTTAGTGGGGTAACAGTGATTCTGTAGGGTATCTGTCCTGTCAGGTTAGTGGGGTAACAGTGATTCTGTAGGGTATCTGTCCTGTCAGGTTAGTGGGGTAACAGTGATTCTGTAGGGTATCTGTCCTGTCAGGTTAGTGGGGTAACAGTGATTCTGTAGGGTATCTGTCCTGTCAGGTTAGTGGGGTAACAGTGATTCTGTAGGGTATCTGCCCTGTCAGGTTAGTGAGAAATGTTGATACAGAGAGGAAAACATACCTTGTGTTACACTTAAATCTGCCATTAGGAGTGATCATGTATATACTTGGCGGCTTAAAGGGAAATTCTCGAGGGAAGATCAGTTTTCCATGGTAAATACCCCCTGAAATTGAATTACAATGCAAGTCATTTCCTGACTGAGGAAAAATGTCCACTAAATTATTTCTTCAGTACACACAATAAATATAAAACATCCTATTACAAGCATGACCAAGAGTACAAGAAACGTGGCGTTACGACTTACATACATCGGTGGTCCTATATGACATTATTGGAGGGAAATCAATGTAACCCGTGGGATTTTTCTCAACGGTTACCTCATGGGGAAAAAGAATAGACAAAAAAATTCCAACCAAAAAAAAAAAAAATCTTCAAATTTTGAAAAGCATGAAATTACTTTGCCTGTCTGATTGATAACAGAATCATGCTGTAATTATGCCTTCATAAGTAATGAAAATCTCCACCCACATCCCAAAGGCTGAAATGTCATCTATCAATGCAGACTTGTATACCGTAATTACACTATATCTATTTTCTGAGAGTCAGCTGAAATCAGCCAATCAGCTGAAGATTTTTATCTCCGATTCATGTATATGATAATTCATGAATATTTATCTACAAATGACATACATGAAATAAACTCAGATCAATCAACATCGGTGAGATATCATTTCATATCATATACTGTTATCTTATAACAACTGCTAAAAGTATCTCACAACAGGCCTTAGTTTAGCAATTATTGCCAATTAGATTACTCAACTCAGTCTCATAATCTGTCATATCCTCTTTACTCCAAGGGTTCCACTTACCCTATAACTCTACACCCCTGGAACATTTCCTTGCCAAAATGAAGGCACAAGCAAAGTAATATGATTGGTTTAAAGTAGATTTCAGAGGAAAAAAATTGACCAATCACAGACTGATACTCTCTTTTGAAGATTACAAAGCAGTGACACCCAATGTTGAAGCCACTACAATATAGTGTTAAGTAACCACATGATTCTTTTCATGTACATCAAAGGATCAAACTAGCCTTCTCATCTTATTCAAATTCTTTTCATGTACATCATAGGATCAAACTAGCCTTCTCATCTTATTCAAATTCTTTTCATGTACATGAAAGGATCAAACTAGCCTTGTCATCTTATTCACACAGTGTTACATGAGGACACTTCAATTTTGCCATAAAATGTTCCAGAGGTACATAGAGAGATAGTAAGTAAAACTCCAGGAGTATCAAGTTTCATTTTCCTTACCTTCATAAGGAGACTGTTCTGGACCACTCACAATGTAATGCCTTTTGGAAAAAAATGAAGAGAAAAATAAAATAAAATTTACATAGGTAACCCTTATATTTTTTGCACAAGGAATTTTTGTTGCAAATTCTTGTCTACTAAAAGCAGAGACGTATATATCACATATATATATGTACATCTCTGCTAAAAGTAATAAAGGAGATGTAATAGCAAACTTAAAGCCAGTTATACACATAAAATGGAACTGTCAATTAATTTCATGGTTATATACTCTCCCAATATCATTACTCTAGGTACATACCATTCTAAAATATTGCTTGGTAAAGGTATGGCTTTAACATAAGGAACTGGGTCTTTCATGATTCTCAGGTAGTCCTGCTTCAGCCTTCCTGTGGCCGTAGTATTCACTCTTTTGGAAGCCATCTTGATAAGGAAAACAAATCACATTATTTATGTCATTGAGAAGTAAATAATAATAAAATGCTACTTAAAAAGTATTTCACACTATTTTATGTCAGGATGAATAAGAATTAAAATGTAATGCTATTGACAATAAACCCTGATAAGTAATTTATCCTTCATTTACAAATTACGGGGTAAATTACAAAAAGAGACTTTATTACAATTTTCACAATATATATAGGGTTTTATGGTGAAAATATAAATTCTCCCATAGTGAGTTGGATATTTTAGGACCAATTACTGTAATGTATATTGGTCCAGGTTAATATGAATTGAATTCAATCATTAAAAAATAAAATATTTCCTGTTGATAATTATATGGAATCACTTCTAGTGGTCAACACTTTTGTACCTTAATGATATCTAACTAAAGTGGAAATCATCCGATACATTATCTTAAATATAATCAATTGATTTTGAGATGGAGTCCCCTTGCCGAAGCTGATGGCTGCAAATTACTGAATAACATATAAAGGAGGCCTGAGCAATTTGGGTAAAGTAAATGACACATAGCCAGAACACAGACATTCATCAGAGGGACTACATCTAGATAAGTCATGGAGAGGGAAAACCTCTGAATTAGGATAAAGTGATGATCTGCAGTACCTTGAGGGCACAGCCTGGTTAGTTTCTTAGCTTCCTGAGAAACACAAAATGCAACAGGTAGGAAGCATCAAACCAGACACCTGAGGTTATATATGTACATGTAGACTTACCGGGCCGGTACACTCTATCGACTGACATATTGCAGTCCCTTTATTTTAACAGTTTAATTTACTACATGCCATTTTCGAGACTGAATAGTAAGTTCCTTCTTAGTGCTCTAGAATCTAAAATGTTGGATTGTGTTAATAGCATTTCTGCGTAATTAATCTACTATGTATATAGCCAATTAACGCTTTGAAAAATGAATGATGCAATTCAAAGCAAATATTATTCATGAGACAAAATGGGAAAGACATATTTCAAACAGATAAGCAATATATCTTTGATGTACCCTTGTACCTTCTAAAAAATAATAAAATGTCGTGTACTTCGCAATACGCATTACTAACAACCTTTCGATTTTTCACCAGTTCCCTCAGGCTCATATGCGGTGTCATTTTGGCCCCAATTTGCTTAACGCACTCTTGTGCGGCCATCTGCTTTTTGATTCTGAGGTTCAACAAGACAAACCAGAGTACTTAATCAATTAAGACGGTTCATATTAACTTGGTAAAATCCCTAATTAGCGATCATGAGTTAGACTAAAACTTCAGTTGGTTTACTTTTGGCAAAGCTGTGTTGGTAACACACAATCTGTCAATATGGATTATCAGCTGTTTATGTATTGATATCCATCGTGGACGGTGATCTCTACATAAATACTTACGTTTGTCTTCTTCACTTAGTTGACCATGTACGTATAGCTGAATAAGGATTTGCTTTCCTGGTGTATTTAAAAGCAAATCTGAACTGAAATGTCAAATAATGTCTAACTAGGACTCGCCATGTCGTTCTTCGCTGTTTGATGTTGATGTGTTACTACTTCCTGTTTAATGGTGACACTAAATTGCAGTCCGTATAGCTGTATCCGGAACAGTTGGCGTAAATCGTGTATCAGTATATCCGGTCACGGATTTGTTTCAATCCTAAGTTAGAATTTCATCAATGAAGCACTGAATGGAGTATGAATCAATGACTCAAACAGTGATAATAACTTTGACATTGACCTTACAACCCTGAAACTCATGCTTATCCAAAATATCATATGTTTTCTTCTAAGTTGTTTCCCCCAGCCAAACTCCCTCAAGAAATGAAGCCACCACAACGCTGACAAGGATTTCTGAAACTGATAACAATTACATCAATCTTAATTCTTAGTTATCATTAAAAAAACATATCTTTGTAGTAATTCATGCCAAAATATTTAGCAATCAGATAAAAAGAAATTTCATATCCTTTTCTGTTCTGAATGATAGATGTTGCCATTTTTAATGTTTCGGACATATTTACACGAGAAAATGTATTGATCAGCTTGACTTCTTTCATTATTTCTAGATATAACAAGATGACATTTCTACTTTTAAAAATAGGGTGAACAGAAAAGAATGTTTTATGTACCTTTCCGCCTTTGCTTTTCGTGATAATTTCCTTCTTTTGGTCAAAAAACAAAAGCATGATAAATATGGGACACTCTTGCGACCTTTGGCGTCGAGAACGGAGAGCTTACCACTGTGTTACCGTTACGATACACACGATGAAGTGAAAAATTTGAAATGTTATTGCATATGTAATTCCCTCCAAATTTTGAACACATTCTGTGTTTATAGATGTGGGAAGTACACACATATACACAGAAAACCAAAGATGGCATCAAGTGTTTGTATTTGCGGGAAGTACACACATATACACAGAAAACCAAAGATGACATCATGTGTTTGTATTTGTTGGAAGTACACACATATACACAGAAAACCAAAGATGGCATCAAGTGTTTGTATTTGCGGGAAGTACACACATATACACAGAAAACCAAAGATGACATCATGTGTTTGTATTTGTTGGAAGTACACACATATACACAGAAAACCAAATATGACAGTACATACACACAGAAAACCAAAGCTTACATCATGTGTTTGTATTTGTGTGAAATTAAATACATATACACAGAAAACCAAAGCTTACATCATGTGTTTGTATTTGTGGGAAGTACACACATATACACAGAAAACCAAAGATGACATCATGTGACCGGTAGTTTAAAGGATGTCTTAAGATTACATAAATGAACGATTATGATAACATCACACAAACCCAAATGTCTGTATATTAGCAAGTCATGCACCCTACTTCCTACACTGAAAACTTCCCAAAATACGATATGTTATCTTTTATTAAGGAAAAAACGAAATAACAATCTACGTAACAATATTTTCACGAAAGAGCTGAAATATGGCGAGATTTTGAAGCTATTGTTTTCTGGTGTAGCGGTTCTGTTTTACATACGTTACATATCCCGTGATACACAATGATATCATAAAAACAATTAAATAAAACTAGTGAAATTGAGGCGAAGACCGAACTTTAATTCCAAAATTTATAAAACGTAATACCCGACATCGGCTCACTGCCTGATTTCGCTGGTATTCTTATATTGGTGTATTTTGAAATAAATTTATTTGAAACATCGCATTTAAGATTTCCAATAATGTAAATATAGAATACAAAAGAGAGTTTAAAACATGACTTAAAAAAGAAGCCAAGTGTGACTTTCCTGACAAGTGTGGGTTGTCACGTGAACAAAGCTCACGATAACAGTGTTCTCCTTATCCCTATTACTGATCGCCTATATAGATGTGGCCGTGGTATGTCCGTTACGGTCTGCTGAGTTTCTTCACACCCTTGGGAATCCTTCTGGATGCATATTGACAATTCCCTTATCTAATGGTATCCATTAATGAATTTCTGTTATTTTCTGTACACGAATTTAAACTATATGAGATTTGCGAGTCCAACATGGTCCGTCTTTTAATACTTTTATTAAACTGTTAGTTATGATCTAGGGCCTATTAGTACGAATATCAGGACTACGTCATTCAAACTGGTTTGTAAAAATATAGACATATTTAACATGGCATCGAGAAATGGACGATCATGACAGGTACTCTGTTTTCGGCTAACACATGTAGATTTTTCGGACAGTGGAAGAAAGTAGTGCAGGTTTTAAAACAGTCGTTTGATTGTAATTTGTTAAGTTTGATTAGCTAAGCAGCTGATTCAGTTAACAAACCCAGACCTTTACACCGAGTTTTAGAAGAGATGGAACATCTGATTATCTGTGGCATTGTCCGGCTTTCTGCGTATGCAAGCCAACTGTACGCGAGGAGGAAGACAACTTTTCGAGTGTTAGCACATCGTCCTGAATGCACGAAATTCTGGTAATTGTGTAAGGAGGATTTTTTATAACATTGAAATCGGAATCATGATTCTTTGTCTACATAGGTATAGAGGAAACAGAAGGAAACAGCGTATATACTTGGGATTTTTTGGATTTTGATAGAAAGGTCTAAACAATATGCCAACAACATTTCCACATTCAATTAATTTGTCAGCGTATTGCATACATCAACAATACAACATAATCATATTGTGGGTGTATATCTGTCAGCTGTCCACATCTTCGAAAATTGCGATATTGGAAACAAGACATCGATTATCGAATCAAGTGCGTCATACATATACCATAGCAGGGAAGGAGGGAGGATGCAATATAGAAATGGAAAATTCACAATATGACAATCGAAATCATCATGCTTAATATCGTGTTTGAGAGAAAGTTGTCGTTGTAGGAAATCTAACATTCAGTACCATTTAATTGTAGAGGAAATATGACCATAAGAGTATACTAAACACCCAATCTACGACAGCACTTTTTTCTCGAGGGTCTGTATCTTTTCCAAAAATTTGGATACCTATGAGTGCTTAAAGAATGAAGAAAATACAACAAAACATACCAATATGTCAACTTAATCATAATTCAAACTTAAAAAACAATAAAACTTTGGCAAAATATGAACAAAGGAAATATTTACACGGAGACACATGAAGAAGTGCAAGGAGATTGAGACCAGATGTTCCGGAAGAGCAAGTCAGTATTGTCAAGTTCTTAGCTGAGAACAAGGTATAAAACAACGGAGCCAAAAGGCAAACTAACGAGCATCAAACACGTCCAGCTTCACATCACACAAAGAAATAGAATATTTCTCAATGTGATCATTATGACGACCGTAAAACTTCCACGTAATTCTTATCAACCTTAATCTTTTAAAACCCTACGTTACGAGTTACGACAAAGCTAATCAATGATGTGTGAGCTATGAAAGAAGGTGAAAGATTATCAAAACATGATCAGTTGTGTACCTCTATGGGGACTTGAAAAAAATGGCGAATCTACAACAAAGTGTGACTAAAACTATGGCTAATATAGATCATATATGAACATAACTGGAGTTATCATACACTTCCATTCGGATTTTTCCCGTTACTATATCGTAAACATACGCACGTGTTTTGATTCAAAGTATGTAAATAAAAGATAATGAAGTATTGTAATGTTACAGCTGATCAGGGGGCGGATCGATATAGCATAACATGTATCGTTTATTACCCATCATTCAAATTAAAACCTCTCCCGGAGTATTTCGAGGAGATAAAGAAATAACTCGTCATGTCGTTACCTGTTCACGTTTCAGACATCGATCTCATCAGGTCGAAATCAAGTCACTTGGTTTCCACCAATAGAATGCACGTCCTTGCCCTACCACAACAAATTGTCATGATTTTTTGGAACCATGAACTCTTGAACTATGTGGTGTCTTGACCCGGAGCCAAATATCTCTCTCTATCTATGAAACTGAATGGCGCCCGTGCCATATCACGTAAGTTGCTACCCGATAAAACTTCGTTTCTCTTCCAACCCTCTTTTGCGAGTTCGCGTTCATTTTTTTTGTTTTTTTGTTTTTTTTTTTTGAAATCAGGACATTTTTTCTCGTAATTTATACATAGGACTTCTGTCTCTATCTGCTTTAGTTGTAAATTGGTCTTAGTTAATAATACGCACTTATTAAAAGCAATTTCATCATACACGATCTACTTTCAGGGGGAAATGAGGCCACCGTTTCTATATATAGAGCAAGAAAAATCCTCATTGTGCCGACTTACTTAATGTTTTATGCCATTGAAATGAAACTGCGACTACTTAAATAACCCCAAATGACCATCACCGCTCTTGAATATCGCAAAGGTTATAATTAAGATCGCTATTTCTATTAATCTTTGTTTTACATACTCGCTCCTTTTGATCATAAGTAGTGCAGCCTCGTTCTGATGGTTACTGAATTAAACATTTTTTTAGCATTTTGCGTTTTATCCGATTATATAATCTTTCCGAAGTTATTCTCGTCCTTTTGATAACAGATGTTTCCAAATCAAGGTAGATATAGTTATGGGTAAATCGTCTCTGGTGCCTGATCAATAAGTCCCTGTTGTAATCACAATACATTCATTATATATTTACTTCCTTCAATTATTTGTAAGTTTATCCGTCAAAACACTTTTCCTGGAGTTACAAGAGATGAAATATTAATGTAGTATTTCAATATATATATATATGACAAACTAATGATGCGGGTAACATACCCTACTAGAGTCGGACTATATTTTAGCTCGGACTTATTTTTGTCTTTGTCATTCAAGTATTTCATCAGATATGGATTTGCCTGAATGATTTTAAAAACAGTTTTAATTCCTCTTCGCGGTGAGTGGTTAAACATATGTGCATGCGTGTGTAGTGTAATGTAGCAGAGAACCTTCGATCGACATACCTAGACGGAAACAGAAGTACTAAAGGACTTTAACGGTAGTAGACTAATCAAGAACACGCCGAGTGGGATTTTTATTCAGCCGTGACATTTATATTGATTCCCTGCAGGTCGATGATGGATTTACTTGATTTAAGCTTGGTACTGATGTGTTTAATGACGTCGAGTTGTACACCACAACAGGACCACGGTAAGTAGACTTCCATGACATTCACATTGAGCTCCACGTGGTTTTCAGTACGTTCGCCGTGTTGTAGTCAAGAAGCTTCACCTGGTCTTTTGTGTTTACATATTACGCAACATGCCACATGCTTGCGTGATACTACTACGTGTGTAATGTCAAAGGTCGTGTATTCACACAATACATAGTACTAGTTATCCGAGCAGTACTGGTGTAGGGTCATTGGTGAAATATATAAAAATACGACAGTTAATTAAATATAGTGCGATTCGCCGGCGTAGTGTACTGTAGTGTATACCACACATGTAACGACCTCTCTCACATACGTATATCATCAATGTCGCTCATTAAATACTGCCAATTCATTTTCGTATCGTTGTAAACATGTGTCAACTTTTTTCAAAATGCTTATGGATGCCGCCATTTTAAAAGCGTGTAATAAACAGTATGAAATCGGACGACATTTTCCGGGTTACCGGAATATCCTTTGGGACAAACTCTCAAGATTTTTTTCAAGTGCTTTTGCTTTGTTTGTTTGTTATCATCCCTCGCACAATAAGTTGGCGGGGATATACAAATGGGTTTCGTCGGTCCGTCCTTCCGTCCGCCCGGATGCTGTTTTCCGCATGATATCATTTGAAGGACTGGTCAGATTTTGATGAAACTTGGTTGGTACATTTATTACGTTAGCCCCTTGCCCAAGTTCCATTAACAGCAAATTCCACGCATATTTAACGAGGCTGCTGTGACCTGATCGGAAGATATCTTTTCTGGTTTTTCATGTTGCTCAATTTAAATGTATATATTTCACAAATGGACACAGGCGGAAAATCTTGATGAATAAACCATTGTTTTGTTTTTGGTATTGTTCTTTTATTTATTATTTTTTTTACAGAAATATGCAGACAAAAAAAAGTCATTTGTACAGCATAAAATATTATCAATTTCATCACATAACGTTCATTTTAGAAATATATTTACATGTATTAAAATGCTGATACTAACTGATTTTGATATTGTCTAGCTCCACAGTTTTGGAATAACAAGGCCCAGGATGACATGAGAAAAGCATTGAATTCCCTCCCTAATACCAACATCGCGAGAAACGTTATCCTTTTCATCGGCGACGGCATGAGCATATCAACTGCAACAGCTGCCCGAATTCGACGAGGTCAGATTCAGGGACGAACTGGCGAGGAAACCGTCCTGAAATTTGAAGAGTTCCCACATGTTGGGCTTCTGAAGGTATTCTTCTCTCTGTCACTTTGAATAAACTCATACATGAAGTACACTGTAGGTTTTCAGAAGTCCTTTTACTTTTATACAGGAGCGGAGATAGAATACGTCTGATATTGGGCAGCTAATAGTGGGACGCACGTGTAAGTCGCGAATGGTTTCTTTAACCTCTGAATAGGGTCTGCATTCTTCCACACGGTCTAATGCATACCACTGCATGATTGTAAAAGGAAAAAGAACAGCCCCTGTAGAATCGGGGATTCAGGTGTGTTTCTTTCATGTCCTCTGTTGAGGGGACATTGAAGAGGCTGAAAAAGAACTCCTGTATCATTGCAACATTTGCTAGTATTTGTCTTTCCAGTCTGCTCCAGCTTTGTTTTAATTTCAATTCTTGGTGTCTCTCTTTACAAACCGTCTTCCATAATGCTCTGTGAAGTTACACTGTCTTTGGGTTACAATGTCCTTTACTTACAATATCCTTAAGTTATAATGTCCTTCCGTTACAATGTCCTTATGTTACAATGTCCTTGATTTAAACATATTTTATTGTATCAGTTATATACAAGGGATTGGGCACAAGTTATCCAACTTATATTAAGCCCTTTCCCAACAACATATTTACAAAATATACATATTCAAGGTGGCATTTTAAGATATATCATAGAAAATGAGTTCTGCTGAGATGAAAGGAGAGAGTAGAAGGAGAGCGAGATGGAAAGACAGAAGGTGAGGAGGGGAGGAGGGGAGGTGGATCAAAATCTATTTGTATTAATAATAAATTGCTGAGTGTGAAGACATATTTTACTGTTTTCGTCTTTGGATAATTTATTACTTCCATGTAAGATTAGTTGCAGGTTCAATGGGATAAAATCATTTAGTTCTCGGTAAAAAATAATTCTTTGGTCTGCATACTTATTACAAACAAAAAAGAAATGGTATGTGTCTTCAACAGAATGACCACATTGGCAGTGTTGATAATCAATTAAATTTGCATGAAATAAATCATTATTTAATGTACTAGATCCATTTCTTAGTCTTGCATGTAAAACATTACTTTTTCTATCACCAATTGTATAATAAATAGGAACTTTGGCATTTTTTAGTGAACAAAGAGATTTTTTGAAAGCTGTGACTGACTCATTCTGTCTGATATTGATATCTAAATTGTTCCAGAGCCGAATAGAAGAAGGGAAAAATGATTTGTTAATAAGCTGTAATCTGAAGTTAGGTAAAATGTAGTTGTTAGCATTTCTGAGATTATATGGTGAGTTTTCAGCTACTAAAGAAGGTAAAAGAGAGGTGAGATAATTTGGAGTGAGGTTGTCCTTAAGTTACAATGTCCATTACTTACAATGTCCTTAAGTTACGGTGTCCTTTACTTACAATATCCTTAAGTTACAATATCCTTTACTTACAATATCCTTAAGTTACAATATTCTTTACTTACAATATCCTTAAGTTACAATGTCCTTAAGTTACGGTGTCCTTAAGTTACAATGTCCTTAAGTTACGGTGTCCTTAAGTTACAATGTCCTTAAGTTACGGTGTCCTTTACTTACAATATCCTTAAGTTACAATGTCCTTTACTTACAATGTCCTTAAGTTACGGTGTCCTTTACTTACAATATCCTTAAGTTACAATATCCTTTACTTACAATGTCCTTAAGTTACAATGTCCTTAAGTTACGGTGTCCTTAAGTTACAATGTCCTTAAATTACGGTGTCCTTTACTTACAATATCCTTAAGTTACAATGTCCTTTACTTACAATGTCCTTAAGTTAACAATGTCCTTAAGTTACGGTGTCCTTTACTTACAATATCCTTAAGTTACAATATCCTTTACTTACAATGTCCTTAAGTTACAATATCCTTTACTTACAATATCCTTTACTTACAATATCCTTAAGTTACAATATCCTTTACTTACAATGTCCTTAAGTTACGGTGTCCTTTACTTACAATATCCTTAAGTTACAATATCCTTTACTTACAATGTCCTTAAGTTACGGTGTCCTTTACTTACAATATCCTTAAGTTACAATATCCTTTACTTACAATATCCTTAAGTTACAATATCCTTTACTTACAATGTTACAATATCCTTTACTTACAATGTCCTTAAGTTACAATATCCTTTACTTACAATGTCCTTAAGTTACGGTGTCCTTTACTTACAATATCCTTAAGTTACAATATCCTTTACTTACAATGTCCTTAAGTTACAATATCCTTTACTTACAATATCCTTAAGTTACAATATCCTTAAGTTACGGTGTCCTTAAGTTACAATATCCTTTTACTTGCCAGACGTACCCAGTAGACCGACAAACAGCAGACTCGGCGTCCACGGCCACGGCGTTACTGTCCGGTGTAAAAACCAAGTACTACCTCGTAGGTCTGGACGCTTCGGCAACACGAGGGGACTGTGAGTCCTCTCAGGGGGCTAAACTTAAAACTATGGTGGACTGGGCAGAAGAGGAAGGTCTGTACTATATAATGGTGTACTGTTTTAACGATGTCGCATGAATCTTGTATGGTACTTCAATATTATTTTCGACGCCGTATATTATAATTATAATCTTTGTTTGTTTGACCTCAGTGATGTAATGAGACCTATCTATCTTAAAGAAAGTATAATAAAAAGCATGTAAGGTAAAATGTCATCTTGGCATTTCCTGTCTTGTCGTGCATCAGTTTACACGCTTAGAGTATAATTGCATGTAGAATGCGATGTTTTGTAAAGGAAACCATAACAGCTCAATCTGTAGAGCGACAAACTATGTAGTCACAGTTGAATATGATACGACTGGTGTGGTTCGATGAAACCTACTCAGCTGTGTTCTTTAGGTTGCTAAGGTCATGAACTGCCGTGTGATGCTTTTGGATTTATCCTTGGGAAAGTGTACACTTTACAGCAAGTGATTTGTATAGCATGCAACATGCATGTTGTTCATTGAAGTAGCCAGCTACAATAAAGAATTCCCGCCTCTAAATGACTCTGATTATTCATTGGTTGAAAAATCCGACAAACAAACATTAACATTTTGAAATTCTAAATTAGTTATGACAATTTCACTTCTGTCGACATTTACATCTTTTGACTTTGCCTATCTCTGTATATCTTATTTCCAGGTAAGTCGACAGGTATCGTAACGACAACACGTCTGACTCACGCCACACCCAGCTCGGCGTACGCGCACTCTGTAGAAAGGGATTGGGAGGGTGACGTTAAAATGACAAACGTCGCAGGCAACTGTCGGGACATTGCACAGCAGTTCGTCTACGAGAATGGACACATCGAGGTACGTCTGGTGGAAATCGAAGTACCATAATGTTTTCTGTTACTGGTGCATTAGGCATGTATTGTACTGAATGTTAAGACCCTGTAAATTTGATTATTTACATCATTTGTTGATACTTTGTAATGATTTTTGGACTCGGACATCCGAGTCTTTGACAAATGTTTTCTGGTGTTTCTCATTACATTTCTTAGTAATGGACCTCATCAAAAGTTTTGAACTTGTTTTCTGGGCTCTCCTGAAAAAGCCCACTACAAAAATAACTGCATCTGTGCCGTCATTGATTTGACTATACCATGCTTGTATACCGGTATTTGCCAGTACAGACGAATGGTTAAAGATCACGCGCAGATTCCGTGAGAGTTGAAGCTTTGAGAACTGTTTACACACAACGTCATTTTTTAACGTCGAACAGGAAATGCAATCCATAATCTGGATCGGTATTGAAAACAATTTATAAATATCCCGTTAGCTATGGTGTGTGGCCCTCTGGGACTCTCAGTCTATTTATGAAACAGGTAGCTTTTGGTGGAGGAAGGAGACATTTTATTCCTAATAATGTTCCTGATCCAGAGGCAAATTTTACGTATGCAAGATACCAGAGACGGGACAATCGCAATCTTCTGAACGTAAGTATTTTACCAACAGATAAAGATAATTACTTCTGGCATCATCTTTGATCCCACTAACATATCTTATTATATATGGCACGGCTACCAAAGGCTCTAGGTAGAACAATATTAGGACAAATATCGTTCGACAATTCCGGCCATGCATATCACGAAATAAACACTTGCTGAGGAAGAGACACTGTTAGTATTCTTTATTATGAGAAAATAGAAATATTTTACTGAAGTCAAATTTCTAGTGTCTTTAATTGACATTCTTTTCTTTCTTTCAAACCTAGATCAATTGATTTCAATATCTTCTTGTTTTTACCAAAATATAATGTTGATTGTTACACACTAAAAACCTGAAAAAACCAAAAACGCTCAGCGTTCCAGAACAGGTGGAAATAAGGATGTGTTTGCGTTCAATATATGGGCAAGAATTCGCCAATGAAATTTTAGTGTCAAAGTAGTTTATCCAATAAAACAAACAAAATCATGCAAGTATGGAGAATAAACATTGTTTAACTATTAAAGTTGGTTTATTTTTATCGTCATATGAAAAAACAATTGATCTAATTGATTAAATGACAAGGAAGCAGCACAAGTTGTACGCCGCCAGTGGATAAATTATAGGCAAAAAGTGTGATATTTCTGCAGTAGTGAAACTTCTAGTCGTATTTATTAAATGCCTGAAGAATTGTGGTGCTGTAAAAGTTGTTAATCAACTGCAAAATGATTGGTCAATCGATAAAAAAACGCTTGTTTTGTACAGGATTTGATTAATGCTGCAAAAAAATAGGATTGAAAATAGACCAATGTACGTAACTTTTTACATCAACAAACGTTACGTGCACGTTTCCCTCAGTAAATTTGTTTGGAAACGCGTCTTCGACACGGCATTTGCAAATTTACGAAGTGTCAACACAAGGTATGATATGATTGTCGTAATTTTCATCAATCAAATGGAGTTCGGAAAGTATATCGGGTAATAAATTATAATTAATTTTTGTGTCCAAATTGCCCTTAAATACCCCCTGTCTTTAGAACAGTTGTATTTCGGTAACAGATCGTGTAACGATAATGTTTTATGCGATATTTCGACCCGCTCCCAGTTACGTTAACACGTGACTATGCAGTTTTCCAAAATAGCGTCTATTGGTGTAGAGGAACTCGGAGGAGACCACGGAATCTGGTAATTTTGATCACGTAACAAAGTGTTACTCACACATTCGGAGTAAAATATGATCTTTGAAAATGTTGTGTGATTTTGTCTTTGTATTTTTCAACAAACAAACAAAAAAAAAAAAAAAAAAAACCCAGTAGATCTGGTATTTGAAACAGGTTTGACGTCACGATAGCGATTTTTTGGTGGGAACGATTTCCGTACGTATCCTTGACCCGAAAATAAATAGTTGCACGTTTTTTGTTGTCAATGTTACATGCGACTACTTAAACGATATCATATTTGAGATATGTGGGAGTATAATTATAATTTACATACAGATCGTGTATTCGGGGAAATTTTATGTTTTAATAGCATTTCTGGCACGCTTTATAATTTTTGTGTCCATGTTACATGCAACATATGTGTAACTACTTTATTACTGAAATGAGAAGGTTGCAAAAATATTGATAGAATTTTCTGTATACGACAGTAACACAATGAAAAAAAAAGACTTTTCTTGTTTACCAAGAACATAATTCTGATTATATTTATCTCCTAATAATTGCATGTAACATTGACAGAACAATAAGGGGAAACCTGTTTTCATAGAATATCTTAAATACATAATAAATTTGAAAAACGCAATTTTTTAAGTCGAGATGATGGACAATGTTTTGAGATAAACAAACCAAATACTAAACTTTAAACAGGTCAAAGAACCACCAATCTCAGTTTGGGAACAGTGTCAATGTTACATGCTCTAAATTCATTAATTCTCTTTGTTCTTAACTGAAGTAAGTTTCAAAATGATGTTTTTGTTACACATAGAAAGTCACCATTTAAAGTTATACTTCAAACAAAATTTGTAGGCTTATGAATATTTCAATCTTTTTCTTTCAATGTCACACTTAGGGTTACATTAGCTAATTCTTGCCCATATGTTAACGAAATTGGAAAAGTGATGGATATCCTTAGTGGAAAGATATTATAAAAATCCGTGTAACAAGAGACTGTTTTATGATAAAGGAGAGGAGTAAACTAACTTTATCTCCGGTGTTGACACAATCCCTTTTCTGAGGCAGTGATTTGTGTCGTGAAATCTATTATTGGAAAGGTCGCGCAGGATGTTCGGCTAATATGATTATAACTTATGGCTCTTTTCCCTTCTCACAACACGTAGTACTGGCAGGAGCAGAGAGAAGAAGAAGGGAAACGGTACAAATATGTGTGGAACAAACACCAGTTTGATGCCATAGATCCCAACAATGTTGACAGTGTTTTAGGTACGTATTTCATACAAATGGTGTGGAAGAATAAATCGGATGCTCTCTCTGATTACTGTGATGTTCTGTGAAGCATTTGTAATAGCTTAAGTATGATACTTGGAAGTGTCTAATGCACCATCTGCAACTTCTGTTGAACTTTTAGGACTATTTGCTCCCAGTCATATGCAGTACGAGCTTGAGAGAGACAATGGTCCTCTAGGAGAACCTTCACTGGCGGAAATGACGTCAAAGGCTATTAAAATTTTACAGAAAAACGACAAAGGATTTTTCCTCCTGGTAGAAGGTATATATCGCCCAGATTTACCTTGTAATGTGAGCTATTTGATAAAGAGTGTAATGATCTTCCGTGGTATCAATGTAAGATTTCATCTTTATTGCACATTATGTTCTTACCAACAGGGGGCCGTATTGACCACGCCCACCACCTTAACAAGGCAAAGAAAGCCCTCCACGAAACCCTGGCTCTAGAGGACGCCGTAAAAGAGGCTGTCACACTGACAGACGAAGAGGACACGCTAATCGTAGTAACGGCAGACCATTCACACGTATTCGCGGTGGGCGGGTATCCATCTAGAGGAAACGATATCCTAGGTATACTGCTGATACTATTGTTTACGGTTTCTGACAGCTTAATACTAGTTAGTTATTGTCCATATGTAACACTTGCAGCTAAATTCATAACCAAAACATCCAGAAGACGATTTTCCTTTGGTACATTTTTCATAGATATCCCTCTAAAACTTACTTTTATGCATATCTTTTTCTAGCTTCGTCAAAGAGCTTGAATCATTATAAAAAATGATTGATATTGCATGTCATCATGTTCTAATTGATGTGCTTGTCTTAGAAGGTAATATACCTGGAGATATTTCGCAGGCTCTTTCTTCCTCATATTACCTTAGTGTCTGGTATAACATTACTCTTCAGTAATGATGTACCCAGGACGTGGAATCAACATTTTGAAGAATATTGATGTAATGTTACACTTGGTCTCCATGTATACCAGTGAAAGATGTATGGGATACTAGCAATTTTTATGTTTTATTATACTGAACCCCATAAAAACGCAAGTACATTTTCACGTGAAAAGTTTTAGTTTGACCTTTTATATACTACTGTTAATATCAATAATATAAGTTGTGAATGTAAATGAGGTGATTTTTGTTCACTCCCGACACTGTTCGCACCGACACATGCGCAATGCGTAAAATTGGATTCTGCACGTGCAATCACGGATGTTGCAAATACAGGTGAGTTTTCACCGAGATGTGTCCTTTATAAAGTGGTTCATCATAAAAACATTATTCACTGAAGGTAGAGCGAATAATACTCACGAAACACTATGCCACGTTTAACACAATTGCAGAGAGGAACGGCTCTTGGAAGTTTGCAGGCGGGTACCTCCGGCACTATTGGGATGTCATGTTAGCACTATCACCAGGCTTGCTGGACGCTTCCAACATACAAGTTCCGTTTCGGATCTTCTCCGGACGGGTTAGACTAAGGGCGACAACTCAGGCCCAATATAGCTACATCCGGGGAAATCACCTTCGTAACCGAGACCATCCGGCGTCGCAAACGTGAACATATCAATAACTACAGACGTCCTTACGTAGGGCCTATTATCACTCAGCGCCATCGACAGCAACGTCTTCAATGGGCAAGGCATCATCAACGATGGTGTCGTGTTGACTGGCGACGAGTTCTTTTATCAAAAGAATCTCGATTTCATCTTTCCCAAGCTGATTGCCGATTGCGTGTGTGGTGTCGTCATAACGAACTTTATGCCGATTGTTGTGTCCTGCAGACTAACAGATGGGATGGCGGCAGCATGATGGTATAAAGAGCCTTCATTTACCACCATCGGACACCTCTTCACGTCTTACGTCGTTTCTTTGTTTGCTGCACAGCCGCAACTACAGTTTTACCAGCAAGATAACGCCCGTCCCATACTGCTCGAGTACCTATGGGTTTCATTGCACAGAAAAATGTGAATGTCCATCCTTGGCCGTCTCTTTCACCGGATATTGCACCAATAGAACTTGTGTGGGATGAAATTAGGAGAAGAATCGCTGCTGGTGGAGCCCCGTTGACGTTGACACAGCTAGGCCAGAGACTCCTCCAGCAGGAACGGAACAATTTGCCCCTGGCATTCTTCCAGACTCTCAGCAGTTTCATGAGACGGCGTTGCACCGCCTGTATCACTGCCCAAAGCGGACACACGCATCATTGATTGATTTGTGATTTTCCTTTCATCATAGAGGTTCCTTCATTAAATAGACAATATGGATTGTAAATTTTATTAAATGAAATGTAGCCAGGTTTTGTTTAATTGCAACGATTGAATACATCAGTAAAACTTCAGTTCCTGTTTTTGATTTGTTACAAAAACGTATATGAAGTCAGACTTTTCAGTATAATAGAGAAAGAAAGACTTTCTGGTGTAGTTTGATTGTAATAAACAGTGATTTATTGGACAAAGCCCTTATTGTCTAATTTAATGAGCATCTTTATTATTAAATATTGATTGTGTTCCGAAATATAAAACTAATTCTATGAACAGTGAATTTCACTGCGATGAAAACGTGTCTTCCACGCTTGCCAAGTAAGTAAAATTACGACACAATACCGTGTAAAGTTGTGTCAGTAACGACCTCAAAACACGCACTCTCCATAAATAATTGATTTGTTATATTACATGAAGGTGCTGTGGATGACGTGCCTGAACAGTACCTTCCACCAGATCGGAAAGGGTTTACCACCATTACCTACGGGAACGGTCCCGGGTATGAAAACGGAAGCAGAGCGGACCCCCGGTTTACTGACACTAGTAAGATAAATACTATGTAGTGTTTGGGTACACCCCTCCCTAATAAATTGTATATAGTGGCACAGCTAATATACGTACCTTTAATTAATGTTACACCCCTCCCTAATAAATTGTATATAGTGGCACAGCTAATATACGTACCTTTAATTAATGTTACTTTAACATATACATCATCAAAGATGTGTAAAATCCTCCATATCATTTACAAAAAGAAATTCCTAGATAAACGTGATAATTAAGAAAATCTAAAAAAATTTAACTCATCTTCTTTATTTATCCACAGTTCCTGATAATACAGATTCCTCTGTATGAGCACCTTATCTTGATCTTAACCTCTGACAAATCAAAGGAATGCATGATAGGAGTGGCGTTTCCTTGTCGTAAAAACTTCCCATTTCTTGATAGTAACACCTGTCGTTAAAACTTGTTGCAGTTAAATAAATATTAAATATATTGTTCCCTAAATCACGATTTCTGAGATAGATGTTTTCAGAAATAGAAAACTTCTTCCAACACATGATAGCTGTATGGGGATAGATCAATGGGCTTTTTGTGCGGAAATTATAATTCGTTGTAGGATATGAAGGCCGTTAGTATGCCACATGTCTTAGTTGTTGCTGCCTCGTGATAATTTTGAGAACATGTTTGCCACATATTTACGTTTCGTGAAAATCCTTTGACATTTTTTTTTTATTTCTGAATATTTGGTTGTCATGATCATATAGGCAAATAGAACTGGGCAACAGGCGAAGCCAATGCAAGCCCTCTCCTTGCTACCGTAAACAAATATGAATTAAATGAAAGGTTCGTAGATAATACAGAAATATTTGAGGAGTGTTATAATTATAATAACTAACATCAGCCATTTTCTCTTTTATTTGTGTAGCTACTAACGACTACGTTTTCCCGAGCGCAGTTCCTTTGGGAGAAGACACCCATGGAGCTGATGACGTAGCAGTTTACGCGCAAGGCCCCATGGCGCACCTCATACACGGGGTACATGAACAGAATTACGTAGCTCACGTGATGGCGTACGCTTCCTGTATGGGGATCAACAAGGGTCACTGCGTCCATTACAACATCATCAACGCTGGACCGACACATACTCCACAATGGGCTATGTTAATCATACTTTTAGTTCATACGGTGCAGACTAATATATGTTTTTGACATCTATTTGTTTAGTGTAGTTAGTTAAGTGTTAGTTTACAAGAAATCTATAATCACACACGTCTTAATAGCTTTATGTATTATGTGGTATGTCTAAAGTTACGTGCACTTCTAACACCAAATGCAGATATTTGTGCACGGATTAGGTAAATTATGCAACAGTAACTCCTTATTTTGGGCATTTTTTACTATGTTAACTGACAGGCGAACAAACATTTGTATCATACAAGGAGTTGTACGTTATACATGGTGGAATAGCAAATAGACAAGTACTAGTCTTTCATAGGGTTATCCGGGTGATCGCATCTCAGTTCTTCAATAACAAAGGACAAGAGGTAAACCGCGCTTCACGCGAGTTCTCTTGTGGTAGAATAATCAGATACATGGAAAATGTTTCTGTTCAACAAACTCGTTTATTGTTTAGAGTCACGCATTTTGCAGATGTTGTGTAATATCGAGGAATATTTTGACCCGGTACTATGTGAAGCCCGGCTTGTGTATGGACTATTTTCTTTACGTTATATTTATTTACACAGATTCATGTTCTACAACAAACCTGGGACAATCTGTAACATTTCCATATACAACTTTAACTGCATTATTTGACCAGGGACGGAAGAGTGCTGGAAATTTAGATTAGGTAAGGATAAAACCCTACACCTGTAAGAGCCGGTCACAAAGTTGGAGATGGTGATACATGGCACATATCAATAGATGGGTGAAAGTTCAACTAGATCACTTCCAGACTGTTATGGATTATGCGGTAGAGTAGAGATTGGTGTGTAACTGGAGAGTTCAACTAGATCACTTCCAGACTGTTATGGATTATGCGGTAGAGATTGGTGTGTAACTAGACTTGAAGTGGGTGATGGTGCGGGAGAAGAAAGACTGAGTATTTATCTTTAACCCTTGTTAATGCTGGTGATTTATCTGAGAGTGATTGGTGTTGTCTGTTGGTAGAGTTATAGACAATAACTCTTGTAAACTTATCTGTTTATCCATTTCTTTTTTTGTAATAAGACCGCGAATGTATTGTCAGAACACTTATGAGTAGAGAAAATGTGTGCTCTGAGGCAAGGCTGTGTTGGAAATGTGCGAGTTTTTACAAGAAGTTCTGCTTATATTACAAAATTGATAACTGTCGGCGAGACAAGGCCTAGCAATCAGAAAGAGCCAAGGAGTACTTATAACACCAACCAAGTGGTCATTATAGGCCTATACATGTGTCCTAAAAGGTGCAGGGTCTGTAATGCTTTGCTCTTGACGTTGTTAATTGGCGTATGTTTTAGGTTCTGTCTTGGAAAGCTAATGATTCGTTTGGTGGCGCTGTTGACACTCGTCTTCATATGAATCTGGCAGAATATGGAAAAAACGATGACAACTTCAGTCATTACGTCTGTCAGATCTGACACTCGTGTTAGGCATAATACAGTGTAGTCGTGTAATGATGTAAATATGCATCCATTTAACGAAACACAGACTCATGTCCTCCTTCACACAAATACGCGCTTGCGTAACACATGAAAAAAAAATGAAGCAAAATTATTTGCCAGTTTTGATTTTTTTGAAATATTATAAATATCTTAAAGCATATTGGTAAGCGCTTCTTTTCCTTGTGATAATGATAATGATAAACTTATTTATTTTACAACAATTACGAAACAAGTTTTTCTAACTTATACTAATCACTCTTGTTGGCCCGGATGAAAGCGCGCGAGGGGTCTTAATGTGAATGGTAGGCACAATGATATTTGACCACCTAACAATTATCTTTGTTTTTGAATGGATGTGTAAACATGTTAATGACATATATCTATGCTGTGGTTCTCCTTGGTCTACCTGTGTAACTTGCATATTTGTGACGTTTGTAGTGATATCTATTACTTATGTGGGTTTTTTTTTTAATTTGTTAACTACGACAGGTGAGCATTATTTCACCTATATATTCTTAATGTATATATTTTGTTTTCGATCAGATTGACGTTGCTTGACGTGTTGATTAAGCTTGTTTGCAAATAAAATGAAGTTTGATGAAAACTCTGACTTTTTTAAAAATTTTGTAAACATGAGGTGTCCTTCCGTTGGACAGACTAAGTTACCCTACAACAATATCGTCCGGCCATATAACGTCAAACACTGAAGCGGGGGGTTGATTTAAGCATATGTTATCTGTATCTGTGTTTTGTACGAAAGGAACTGGACACAAGTTCTCCAACTTATACAAACTTATTTTTTAATAACGTAATACAATATTAAGACACATATATGTAAGAAGGAAAATTTTAGTTTGAATAACAATTTCAATTGCGATTTACCATGGATATCAGAGAGGGAAGCTGTGAACTGCGAAATAATCGTTCTACCAGGTACTCAACTATTGCTTCAGTAGGTACACATGAAATCACGAAATTTATTGAATTATTGGGCTAGTGCACTTCCACATCTAGAGACTGACTTTTTTCAATCACTTAGGGTTTTTGTCAGTCGTCTCCTCGGCTTCGTAATTTAAGCCCTTATCATCACTGACGAGCTCTAGAATGACGAAACAGCACGGTATAATGCAGTTTAATTCATTGTTTGACTCTACTGTATCCATTTGTAAGTTTATATCAAAAGGTGTTATTCACTTGTGTTTTTGTGCAATCCTCTTGGTGTAACAACGTAACGGAGAGATGTATTTGGATTAGGCAGAGACGAAAACAAAAAATAGTTATGTTATTTTTTCAAGATTGGGATAGACTTCTGTTTGTGATATACCAAGGTATTATGTATATTTAATCTAAACATTCCTGAAGGCCATTGTTAGTTTCCTGTAGGAGATTACCCTTCCGGGACGGAGGTACCAAGTCTATCACGAGTGTGAGAACGTGACATTACTTTCTTGGATTGTCAAAGAAGCAGAAGATGCTTACTCTTCCGGAACACCTGGTCTTATTCTCCTTGTATTTTTTCATGAGTTTCTGTGTAAATCCGTCTTTTGTTCATATTCTGCCCTATGGAATTTGATTTTGAATTATACTTATGTTGCCACGTTGGTATTTTTGGTGTTTTTTCTCCAGTCTTTTATGGCGACCCACGTTACATAGGAAACAATGACAGCATATCATATTTTAGGATGTTTAATATTTATATTAATCAATGCTTTACTTGTTATCTTTGATTATAGAGGATATTAAATGGTTTCCCGTTTAAAATAATATATATTTCACAAGTCTGACAGAGTGTCAGACACTAGTGAAAAAACATCATGTCATACAGTAAAGGTTATATTGTCACTAGTGGTGAAATGAGATTTCTGCAGGGATACAATTTTTGTTTTTATAGTATTGATAAATCCCTTTATTTAAACAAAATGTATCGGATGATAAGTAAACTGGGACCGGACAGAATTACCTTCTCGTTTCTGTGATATTGGAACAGTGGAGAAACGGGAAGTATGTCCTTGAAACATGAAAAATGGTTGCTTTAATGATCAGAGCTTTCTTAACGATGAACTGGGATACCTGTATATGATTAAACTGTAATGAGGCTTATTTCTCATCCAAAGGAGAAATATATTGATAGGCTTTTTTACTGGCTGTATCTCATGAGACGAGTTTAGTGGCAAGCTCTCTCAATAGACAACTCGGTATCCGACTCTCTATTCACATATGGGAACAAACTGTGCCCCTTCTTTTTCTGGCATGTTTTTGTTTTTCTTAACAAATAATAAAACCAAACCAAGCTGTATTATAAGTGCGTATTTCGATTTTCTCTATTTTGAATTTCCCATTTCTTGATAGTAACAAATCTGATTTCCAATCTTTAGTGTTTTTATATTGTAAACAATTTGCATGGGCATGTTATAATATTTTTGTGACAGATGCTGACGGCTGACAAACTTGCAGGTTAAACTTCTGATATATGTAACTTGAAGAATATGGATAATTTTTTTAGCTGCCATCATTAGGAAATATTCTAAACCATGATGCCTTATGAAGTTAAATGTTTCGGATGCTTATAAATATGGCTGTTTGTATTGTTCACTCATTTGGAAACACCAATTACTTACATGGATTGTACACTTGTCATGTCAAGTAGTAGGAAATACTACAAGCATTTAGTGGAAAACAGCCTAGTAGTAATATACTACTTCAGATCTTTGTTCCTGCTGATTATCACCTTCTAATAATTTAATTGCTTTGTTCAAGAAAGAACAGAACTATATCTGTAGGAGAACGCCACTTTCTGGGACCTCTGACTTGGCTATCTACAAGTCTGTACCAGTGTAAAATATGACCTTTGTGATTAAATTAGTAAACATAGGTCTTGGCCATACTGGAAAAAGTAAGTATTATGCATCAATGGTAATTTGTAAAATTTTCAACAATATAATACATGTAGGTAAAATAAAGCTTGCTTCATCCATATCGATTGTAGACTTTCACAAATGTGTAACAAAATACATGAAAGACTGACAGTTTTCCATTAAATTTCATCTTTATTTGTTGTAGGTACATTAACAATATGTACTGGGAGAAAATGTTTTTCAAACACATCATCTGACATTATTTAATGAATAATCTTGCTTCATTTCTATAAGCTATTCCATTTCTTATTGTCTAAAATAAACCTATGCTTCATGTGAGCTAGTTTTCATGGTATCCAAAAACAAGCTCTTTATAAATAACATCTCCATCTCTCGTAAATGTATTTCCTTGTACCTTTTACTATATACATTAATTTGGATGCCTTAATCTTACCTCTTACCATAGATTTTTAGCTTACATCATATATTTTAACATACAGCAACATTTATACAATTGTGGCAAAATATATTATTTTTCAGAAACTTGCAATGACACATTACAAAATGTACAAATATTTCTTTTTGTCTCACAAAATACTTTTTCCTTATTTACATCAAACAAACAAAAAAGGCAATGACAGTGAAATCAAACTGAAATGTCATGCTGGATAACTTTAGTATCATCATGTATCCTGGTCAGATGGTAGTTATA